CAGGCAGAATACAACTATTTAAGATAATTAGTCCTCTAAGGTTTTTGGATGGGCTATGAGTGGAATACAAGAATGATACAGATCCCTTAAATCATAAATGATATATAGGACCCTTCCACTTATGCTAGGCACAATTTATTTGTGTATTTTGTTATAAAGAAGGGATGTTCTGCCATACTGGGTGGTGTTCAGGGGGTACTTTGTGATCTGTTATCAGGAGTCACTGCTGGTGGTGCTCTGGGCGCTGGGATGAAACCAGGATTGGAAGCATGTAAGGCAAGAACCCCAATTCCTGCACTATTTCTCTGGCCTTATACAAGCACATTTTATTATCTTTAACCATCACTAAGGTATAAAAGCTACATGAACACATATGACTATTTGATTATTCCTACTTGGAAAGGGGAAAACACAAAAATGAAAGATCTAGATATTCTAATCCTGCCTTCAATGGGTTTCACATATATTATTTTAATATAATATGCCTTATATATGCATAAGTGCAAGTTGCAAAGTAAATGTTCAAAAACCCAACCAAATGAAAGTTGAAAAATAAAAGGCAAACTATAAAGATGCTCACCATATCATTTAAATTTTATTCTCTGTCTTCTTTACTTGGTCAGGGTTTTTTTTGTTGTTGTTGTTGTTGGAAAATATCTCAAAGTAAAATTTGCATCTTCCCTTCTCATTTTTGTGCTAAGGATTCCTATTTTGATCTTTTCAGCCCCCACCTGTCTTCTTTGCTCTAGAATTACATTTCCAACTGCTTGGTGTAATTTTCTGTTTTCCCCAAATCCCCACACATTTAAATTGCACTTTATGTAACTCAGGCATCTTCAAATGTAACTCAGGCATCTTCAAATGACATGGAAAGAAATAAAGAAAGATAAAATGTTCGGGAAAGAACATAGAACATTGCATCTATACAAAAAGAAACCTCAAGCATGAGGCAGATCTAGGTTTGGGGGACCCAGAGTCATGTACAGTATGTTTGGTCTGAAGATTCTGATCTGCTAGATCATTGCTTGGGCCCAGCAATGCAGTGTTGCTTGGTCAGATCATGTTGGGGCCACCAGAGCCACACACAGTAGTTCTCAGGGCAGGACCCATGCTAGGCACATGCTCTATCACTTGAGTTACAATCTTTTTCTATAAGTTAGAATCTTGACCTAGCTTGAAGAATCAGAAAGACTGATCCTGATATACTAAGGTAATGGTATTTCAGAATGTGTACGATTCTTGGAATAAAAAGGAAGAAAACTACTGAAAGAAAATATTACTTTAAACCTGATCTGAGACAAAATATTATTGCTTGATGATCAGTAATCTCCCTTAAACAGAACTCTAGCTAAAATGTTTATCAATTTTCAATTATTTCTTGATTATTTATGGAATTAATTAATCTTTTCACTTCCACATCCAACTAATAGTCAAGGGTGTGGCGATCTAAAATTTTTGCTTACATCAATATTGCCTAAACTTCATTTTAAAAATGAGAGTCTCTATTAAAAGAAAAAATTATGCTAAAAAATTTTGAAGTTTAAAATATCAGCATTTTTCCATGCAGCAAGGTTATAATACAATTTTGATAATGAGAATGAAATAGTCTGGACTGTTGTTAGTTTCAATAATTTCTTGTAAGTTATAAATGAGGCTCATGTCATAGAAAACAGAAGTAACATGAGGGTATGGATATGGTAAAAAGGAAATGGATGAGCAAAAATCTATATTGAGCATGGAATTGGTATCCTTAAATATTTGAATCTCTTTCATAAAAACCAAATATGCATATAAGGGAAGAGGGTGATCACAATTGCGTGTATTTCATTAAACACGTACTAGTAGCTGCATTAAAATGTTAAACAAATCAGAGGGTCAGAGCATAATAGTAGAGCACACAGGGTGCTTGCCTCACACACAGTTGTCCAGTGTTTTATCCTTGGCACCCTGTATAGTCCCCTGAGCACTACCAGGAGTGATTTGTGAGTGCAGAGTCAGGAATAAATTTTAAGCCTCTCTGGGTATGGCCCCCAAACCAAAAGCAAACAAACAAAAAGTTAAATGAATCAAATGAGTTCATTTTAATTTTATTCTGTATAATCCCACATCATTTTTTGTTGTTGTTGTTCCTGGAGTGAGCAGGTACCATTGGGCTACACTAGCACACAACAGGGACAAATGGGGACGTTACTGGTACCCACTCGAGCAAATCGATGATGAATGGGATGACAAGATACAAGTGATAACAAGTAAGCAACGTAAATATACAATAGTTGGGGCTGAAGCAATAGCACAGCAGGTAGGGCGTTCGATTCCCAGCATCTCATATGCTCCCCTGAGCACTGCCAGGAATAATTCCTGAGTGCAGAGTCAGGAGTAACCCCTGTGCATCACCAGGTGTGACCCAAAAAGCAAAAAAAAAAAAAAAAGGAAAAAAAGAGAAAAAAAAGTACGATATCCACTTCAACTCTGCTATTCTAGAATATTAAGGTGAATTAAAATTTCCAAGAATAAAGAAAAGTTCCTCTTTTTTTTTTTATACCTTTACAGAAAACCACTTGAGAGCTTTCATTTTCCCCTAATAAGTTCCTAGTTCAGAATGTGGTATCCCTAATTTCCACAAATATCTTTCCTCGTTAATGAACTGAAATAATGTATAATTCACCTGGAGAAGAAATCCTTTAATGATTACTTATTCAAATCATTTCTACTGAACTAAAACACTGAAAAAAAATGATTTTGCATGAATGATTTTGGCATTGCAACATCTTAGTTATTAGTGCCCAAATAATACATTAATTAATATTCGTTGGAGACTTTTTTTTCCTTTTTTTTTTTTTTGCAGTGCGTCCCATTTCTAGTGGGCCTGAACCCATCACGACATGCTATGAAGTGAACCCAGGGATCCCAGGGGCAATGTATTTGCATCAGTTTTTTAAGCCATCTCTCTAGTCTTGAAACTTCCTTAACGTTTCTTTCTTTGACTGGGACAGAGCAGTAGGGTAGTAGATGGGGTAGGGTACTTGCCCTAAATTTGGCCTACCTGTGTTCAATCCCCAGCACCCAATGTGATCATGGTACTATGAAGGGTTTTTTGGGGGGGAGGGGCACATATAATAACCCATTTTTATCAAAAATCACCTTTTAGCATCAATACTGTTACTACTATCAGTTTATGAGTAAGGAATCTAAGACACATAGAAAGTGTCTATATTAACCAAGGTCACAGAGAGAGAATAAAAGTTTTGAGATTCATGTGTGTGCAGCCTGATTTTGAATGTGTCAGAACTGTAGGAAAGTTTTGTATCAATTTGGTGTTTTTCTAGATAGGATGTAGTTCGAAAATTTCTTCTAGTTCCTGAACTGTGAATGAAGAAAACAATGCACCAGTTTTAATCTATTAAGGGTGATTGAACAATTCTAATGAATACTTGATTGTTATTGTTCTACACCTGTTTTTAATTAGAAAGTTTTCCTGCTTTTAGAACTAAACAGCACATTAAGTATATATTCGAATAACAGCACCCCGGCCCTAAGTAAGGTGTTTTATGAAATCTTCCATAAGCCAAAATGGTGTGGAGAAATACTTATTAACTTAGATGGGAAATATTTTAAGCATCTCCAGATTAACAATAACAACAACAACAACATTATCAAATCATACCAAAGAATACATTAAGGATGAAAATCAGGGTCAGGGCCAGTGGAGGGTGGGGGGGGGGGGGTGAAGGTACAAATTATATGAACTGACCAACCCTGGTTTAATCATTGGCACTCCTGCACCATACTCTGGGCAATGCTGGGGGTACGGACTTAGAGATATGCAGCAATGCTGAGGTAACCCCAGCATGTCAAGATGCAGGCCTCTGGCATCCGAGGGTCTTGGTATTAAACCAATAGTGGCGAGGACTGGCCTCCGGGCCGTCAGAGCATCAACCAACCACTCACCAATGCACCAGCTCACCAACCCACAGAGCAGCCTTGCCAAAGACAGTACCAACCCATAGTAAAAACAGTGATATGAGAATACCGTGACAGGATTAAGTAGTTCTAGGAGGCGGGGTTTGGCCGAGCTGCTCTGGTGTGCTACTCGTTGCAGTGGCTGCAAATCCACATTGACTCTGTTCTCAAGTTTTGCCTTTTGTCGTAAAAGCAAAGGCTCTCTTCCAATTTACTGACTAGCAACACAAGTTAATCGTCTATGAATGCATATCTTTTTTGAAAAGTAAGGAACTCCTGTACTGGGATTGGAGCTGAAGGTGCCTTGAAAACAATTCTCATTTTAAAAGAAGCTCTTTTTTTCTTTTAAAAAATTTTTCTATTAAAAGAACCACAGGGTACCTGGAGAGATAGTACAATGTGTAGGGCACTTGTCATGCACGTGGAGGACCCGGGTACTATCCTAGCTCTACATATGGTCCCTCGAGCACACCAGGAGTGATACCTGAGTATAGAGCCATGAGTAAGGTCTGGGAACTGCCACGTGTGCCCCTCATCACACCACCACAGGAAGGAAGGAAGGAAGGAAGGAAGGAAGGAAGGAAGGAAGGAAGGAAGGAAGGAAGGAAGGAAGGAAGGAAGGGAGGAAAGGAGGGAGAGAGGAAGGAAGGGAAGGAAGGAGAGAGGGAGAGAGGGAGGAAGGGAGAAAAGAGAGAAAGAAAGAAAAAGAAAAAAGAGAGACAGAGAGAAGGAGGGAGAGAAAGAGGGAGAGAAAGAGGGAGAGAGAAAGAAAGGGGGGAAGGAAGGAGAGAATCCCTTGGCTCAATAGATTGTAGAGGGCTTAAAGCACTTTTGTCTTGCAGTGACTGAAGAGGTTCCGTTTCCAGAACCTCCAGGGTTCTGCCAGGAGATCCCAGAGCCTTAAAGGGTGTAATCCAAACTTGCCCATCCCCCACACCCCTCCCCCCAAGAGCCACCACACATGAAAATATTATTCTGCTTTAGACTTAGTTTTGAACTAAAAGGTTAAAAGAGGATAAATAGAATAAAAACAAAGAAGCTTTTCATGAGTTGATTTAATTAAGTGAATATTGACATTTTACTTTATACTCTTATTTTCTAGCCAAGAAAAATTTAAGTAGATTAATCAGGTTTCTAAAAATAGTCACCGAGTAAGTATTATTTCAAAAGATATATGTAGTACCTGCGATTTATTTACTAAAATCAATGAGGTCCTTTCTATGAAGTACATAAAAGACAAAAATTCTCATGTGTCCTGATTGATGGCATAGCAATAGTGCAAGCAACACTTAAAGCTGGGCACTGCTTGGTGCATAATTATTCATTTTTCTCCATATATATAGACAAAACACCTTGTCAATAAATAATTCCACTTTAATGGCAAAGTAATAATTTAGACAGATACAGGGTGCACATTTGCAAAAAAATATATGCAAGCTGGTTTACAAGCTAGAGGAACAATAAACCAATAGAAAATACATCATCCAGTTAAGTCCATTGACACCAAGTACTTATTGTTGGGGCTTTACAAAGACTACAAAACTTTTCAGATGATTTATTTCACTGTTTCTGTCTATTTACATGATATGTTACATCAAAAATGTACAAAATATAAAATGTTTACAGACAAATGTTTCACAAACTAGTTTAAGTTGTAAACTAGGTGGACCTACTGGGATGTATTGCAGGATTTTGTTTATGATCATGTTTGGACTGTGTTTCTCAAAATGGCAGGAAAAGATTAGCAATTTCCTTAGATCACGTATTATACAAGAGCAACTAGTCACTCATCCAGCTACATATATTGATGTCTCACAATAGATTTGATCTGTGTTTGAGGCTTTAAAGTATAGGTGGCAATGCTCGGTGCATATATTCAGTTCAGATTTCCCTTAGGGCGATAGCACCTTGTAGGACTTATGAACTCAGCCACACTCTGAAATCTGCACAGATGTCTAGTGTTATTATTGTTCTACAGCAACTGACCCGTGGGTGGTCACAGAGAGTAGCACCATTTACACATCCTGAAAGTAACACATTTCCTAGAACAAGTCTACACTATGGCCTAGCCCTTAGTTTTTTTTCAACATATAACCTGTCCTCCAGATGTGGTGGTTACTTCAGTGACTCTCTAATTTGTTTTCATGCACTCTCTTTAAAGCCTGCCATGACAGATGCACTTTCAGACATTTTCACTTTTCCAAAAATGTACTGGCTTCATGTACAGTTCTGAGGCATGCTCACTCTAGCACTGATAGCTCTTGCATTGTCATAACAACTGTAAATACAGGACAAACACACCAGATAATAACAGCTTTGAGGGTCTGCATTCTGTATTTGTTTGCAATGTACAGGAAATCTCAGCAAGTGAAACACCTCTTAACACCAACAGGATAAAGTACATTTTTTGTGTTTGCTTTGATTTGTGCAAGTTTTAAAAATTATTATTTACAATACCTACCCAGTAGACTGTGCAAATCTAACCTCTTTTACAGTATAAACGCTCTCTCCTCCACAGTGCCTTCACTGCTTCAGTGTTCTTTAATGCTGAATTTCTCATGTACAACAATAGCAATCAAAACAACATGCTCAAAATGAATAATAATAATTATAAAGAATAGAGAAGGAAAGCCAAATAGTTGTGCTCATGCTATATTTAGTGCTTCCAGCTCTGCTGGATAAGAATTCAAAATCTCCTGCCTTCTGCAACTCTTCACCTAGAACTGGATAGAATTTAGTCACATGTTTTAGCTCTTAAGTGACAATTCAAGAGGATTTCTGGGTTACTTTAAAATTGTGGAGGATAGGCAAAGCATTCTATTCAGGTGAAAAATACTGATCTTTCTCCTATCCATTTCTCAAAAGCAAACAAAAAAACCCAACAACACAAAAAGTATGATGAATTACTGTGTTAACTGGCGTTGCTTGGTTGGAAATGAAAAGACAGTGGAGATTACCAATGGTTTAGGATTTAAACCAACTGTTAGACCGTTGTAGAAATCTGTTTTAAGGCAGTGAGACAGCACCATAGGAAATTTTCCTTCTTTCACTGAAAAGGCTCAAACAAATAAAGCCCTAAAAAAGCCTTTTGTCAGTGTTGACTAATAATTGGTATAAAACTCTTGTTAAGGGAGTGGGCAGGTGGTTTAAAAAGACCACTGTGGTAAAAACAACCTTAGAAAACCTGTGACTCATACACTAAAAAGTTGGTGGAGCACATCATGTGAACATGGCAGTTAAGAATTAAATTGGCACTTATCCAGCTTGCCGCAGTAGTGTTTTTCTGGTGGTTGCACAATTCCATTTGTGCTTACGGAGGACTGGCCTCCTGGCTTCATTTTGGAATGGGGTGAGCACACAACACAAACACTACTGGGGCCCTGTGACCAGCACCATGGGGCACACAAGAGGTTTGATGAATCAGAAAAATGTATCCTGCGTGGGGAGCACAGCCCCTTAGAGGAAATGAAAGGCAGGGACAAAAAAAGGTTGCATTGTAAACTTTTAAAGAGAAAAAAACTAAAGTCCAGTTTGGCTATCTCATGTGCAATCTAGTCTGTTTCCCTGCCAATAGGGTCCTTTCCAGTTGAGTAATGGAGCCTTGTATCACTCCATGGGCTATACAAATGCCTAGAAATAAAAGAAATTAAGCTTCCCTTTCAATTTAGCATCTTAGCGGTGCAGACATAGTTCTGCTGCTTTGCTCGAGACCACAACTCCTGGGTCAGGGCCCTGGACAGGGTGCTTTCATACTGGCAGTGGTTTTGTGAAAATACCTTCCCTTTAAATATCTTTAGAAAGCATCATCATTTCCCTAGCGCCTTTATACCCTCTAGAGGGTAGATTCCAGCGATGAATCCAAATCTTCACGACGGCAGGTGCTGTCACTGTCGCAGCTTTGTGTGCCCGAGTAATTGGCTGCTTCTTGGAGTTTCATGAGCATATTCATCTGCAAAAAGAAAGAGACGTTGATATGGCCAGTGCTGCATTGTGAAAGCCAGGCCCACGGAAAACTAGAACCCAAGTCTCACGAGGAACCGTTTCATCCTATGCCACCAGAATGGGAAAACAACAGACTTTTTTTTTTTTTCTTGTTGCCCCGGCTACCTCACCTGTTTCTTCCAAACATGCTCACCACCAACCTAAGGATAAAATAGGGTCTCCGGATAACTCTCATTTCTAGGGAACTGTGAATGAATATGGTCCGGGGGGAGGATGGGAAGAAACACTGTATCACAGCTGGACATCTGGGCTCAGTGCTGGAGAGGACGCCAAGCTTCCCAGTTTTTTTGGCTGGGAGCAGCAGAAAGCATTGACGGCAACTGAAAGTCGTGAATGTTCCTGTACACACAGACGCACACGCAGACACACACGCAGTCCCTTGAGAGAAGGAGGGGATGGAGTGGAATGAAGCCAGCTGCTGCACGCAAGCGTACCATCTGCTGTTTAGGAGCTGACCTCGAGAGGAGGTGACTGAATGAAGCCGACCATGAGTGTTTGAAGAGGGAGAGGGAAAGAATCACTGTCAAGTTTCTGTTGTTGTTGAATTGGTTGCTGAAATATGATTGATATATCATTGAAAACAAAAACTACCTTCTGGAACAAAAGCGGCTGTCTCAAGTTTCACAGCCAGATAGGACAATGGTGACAATGTTTCTACTACCACAGGGACATCTGCCACCAAAGCACCTGGGGAGAAAGGCAGGGAGCATTTGCCTGCACTATGAAATGAAAAGCAGCCACCTCACTTGGATTGATAGATCTAAAAACCCGGTGTGAAGAGAAGAATGGCAAAAAAAACATGGCTTAGAAGGAAACTGTGCCCAAACTTTCAATGATTTTGGAAAGCACAGAAAACTCAGCATCTATCTGTCTTCCAAAGGTTATGGGTCTCTTATCAAGGGCTTTCTATAAATGTAATAATCTTTATTTTGCTTGATGTACATTAATTCTATTTAGCTTATTAACTAAATAAGGTTCTTTTATCCAACTTAAGAGAAAGGAGAAACGTTTCCTTAATTCACTTAAGAGAAATGGAGACTCATCCAATAGAAAGGAAATATCTCACAGGACTAAAATATTCTGTAGTATAAAATGCATGTTCAATAAATGTTTATGAAATAAAAAAATAAGCCATGAGTCACCAATTTGCAGAAATACCCTTCTGACAGACACGGCAGAGCCTGGCAAGCTACCCGTGATGTATTCAATATGCCAAACACAGTAACGAAGTCTCCAATGGAGACGTTACTGGGCCCATTCAGCAAATCGATTAACAACGGGAGGACAGTAACAGTGACAGTGACCCTTCTGACAGAATCTGCTTATAGCATATTTTATAGTCATTTTAATATTCCTTAAGGCAATATTTTTTCAACATAACTTTAATATCTTGAATTTATTAAATTGCTACATAAGTATATGACATGAAAGTATGATGCTATAGGCCAAAAAATTCTACTCTCTCCAACACTCTTTCCCCTACCCCCACACTCTCCCTCTTTCTTCTCTCTCTCTCAAGCACACACACACACACACACACACACACACACACACACACATGGGCATGCACCCACACCTTTGTGCAAATGAATATTACCTTCCTCTTTTGTCAATTCTTCTCTCATTGGTTGTTGACTATAAATGCAAGCTTTTGGGTGAAGATAGTTTGTAAAACAGAACTGTGTTTTGAGCACCCTCCTTATTTATGAGAAGTAGCAAAGTAAAGGGAAATCTAACTCACTCAGAAATGCTTGAAATCACTTGAAAGTGGAATGCTGTAAATGTTTTAGAATGTGATGAGAGTGTTAAATTTCATTTCATTTCTTTGAATGGTGCCATATAGTAAATATATTCTATTAGAATAAACAAGCAAACATTGCCCTCCTGTTGTTCATCCATTTTGCTCGAGTGGGTCCAGTCACTGTCACTGTCACTGTCCTCCCATTGTTCATTGATTTTCTCGAGCAGGCCCCGTAACATCTCTATTTTTTTGAGACTTGTTACTGTGTTTGGCATATCGATTATGTCACGGGTAGCTTGCCAGGCTTTGCCGTGTGGGCAAGATATGCTCGGTAGCTTGCCAGGCTCTCCGAGAGGGGCGGAGGAATTGAACCCGGCTCAGTGGGGCTGGCTGCACGCAAGGCAAATGCCCCACCACTGTGTTATCACTCCAGAATAATTTTCACAACTTAGATTCATTAGAAATTATATGCATAAAAATATTACTTTTGCCTTCTCATGAGTTTGTTGTTTTGTGCATGGAAGTCAAAGGAGATTACAGAAGGGAGATAAGAAAATAGATCATTTAGTCATTGGACTGAATCGTTATTCTCTACAAAGCATTCTGCTTTTTCTCTATACTTGCAGTCAAAAATAGCATCTATCATCCATGATACCTTGGTCAGGTCCTTGTCATGCCTATGATTTACAATCCGCCAGACTCCCAACTACAGTTCTCAGTTCTTTTATCTATTCTTCATTCTGTTATCAGAATGATTTTTCATAAACTGCAAATATAACTAGACAAATCTTCAGCTAAGAAAACTTCTATGGCTCCCCATTGTCTGTGAATAAACTTTTGACTATGGGCAAATATGAACATGGTTCAGCATTATCTGACAGTTGTTTACTTCTGAAGCTATCACCTCTCAACTCCTTTTGTTCTAATCACACTTTTCAGCTCCCTAAACTCATTGCTTTTATTATTCTAATCAATGTTTCACCTGCTGTTTCCTTAATTGTGGATTTTCTCCATTTAACCACATATGTTCTTCCAGACCGGAAGAATCTTAGATTACCTTCTCTGTGAAGTTTTCTCCTAATCACTGGCTCAATGAATTCATGATTTTGCTCAGCATGGTCTTTATTATTATTTTACTGCAATTTGTATAGGTAGTATTTGTATAGGTAGTATAGTACTACATTTACTCTAAGATTGTAAATGCCACAAAGTGACTCTAAAAACAAAGCATATATACACACCCTTTCCCCCACATAACAAGCATAACTGTATTCTCAAAACACTTTTGTTAGCCAGAAAAAGTTTTTATCATCAAATGAAAATTATTACTACTCTACCATTCTGTGCTCAAGCATCACACCATGATCAAATGACCATAAGGCAGGCACCATATCAACTGTACTATTTCCCCTGTCTCTACTTGAATAAATTTAAAGTATTCTATGATCTAGTATTTAATGTATGCACACAGTTGTACTGGATTCAGAGCAATTCTACCAGCACTGTTTATTTTCAACAGCGTGTGAGTTGAAGAACCAGTTACCAACTATTAAAACTTATATCCATATATCCAGGTCCTTCTAAAGCTGTGTCCTAGAGCAAAGGCGCACATGAGAGATCCCTGAGGTCTAACAAGGTCAAAGAATACACAACAGTGACTTCATGGACCTCTCTGAAATATTGCATAAAATTTCCTGTGTATGTGCATTTTGCTGGAAAAAATTAATCTTGAAAATGTATCATTTCATATGGCTGGAAAACTAGTATGATAGTTATGACACTTGCCTTACATGCGGCCAACCCCTGTACCACATATGGTTTCCTGAGCCCACCATGAATGAAATCTAAGTGCAGAACAAGGAGTAAGCCCTGAGTATAAGCTTGGTGTGACCCAAAATTCAAAAACAATACATAAAAATGTATAACTTCACATTACTCTCCACATTAAAATGATCAGCTGAGATAATTGCAATACTTATGCACTATGGGTCTAATACTAGCTCAAGAAGAGCAAGTTACCTAATTTTCTTGGGCAGAGTCATAGGCTCTGATTTTAATAACATTTACAATTTATTTAAATAACATAATCCCCTTTTTCCTGTATCTTTTCTAAATTGGTTATACTAGTCTTTATTTAAATCATGAAATTATAAGTTATAAGATAATAATTACAATTCATTTGAATCTAATGTGTATAAAGATATCCATAAAAATTAAAAAGAAACATATAAGAATTAATTTTTCACAGTATACCAAATAACTAAATATTTAGAGATTACTCATACTTTGGAGTTTTGTCTATTTTTATTAAGTCATACACAAATGCATACTGAGCAAGGCAGATTATTTTCCTTTGGTTTCTAAGTCAGTTCATTCTTTTCTACTATTGGCAACAGAAGGCTAATTCTAAATTTACCCAGACTAGTTGACATATGTAAACTATTCTTTAGCTTTCCAGGTATATGCTGGATTGTATTCATTTGTGAACTTTTAAGTTTAAGAGCAAAATTTAGCCTTTTCCTAAAAACTTAGTGGATGGAGACATACAAAGATTAAAACATATTAATTTGCATGCTGTTATATAATAAAAAAAAGAGAGAAAACCCTATTATTCCAGTATGGTTTTCCTTGACTATTTTTAGCAATTATTTTGAACTTTCACTAGGAGAATGTTACCAATTGAAAGGGGACTAAAGATAAAAATTAAAGCGAGTACTAGTACATAGAAATTTCTCCCAAATGACCCAGGATAATTAGTGTTAATGATACAAGTGACTAAATTCTATTAACTACACTCTGTAGTCAAAACTATAGAGGAAGAATTAAACACCAGCTTCTTACCAGGGGATCCCCCTCTGGTTCAGTCTGAGGAATGTGCTTTGAGGTTGTGGCTTCCTTTGTCGATATGCAGCCTTCATAGCCAACATCTTCAGGTCTCAACTGAAGCAATGTTGGGCCCTCCTGAGGCAGAGATGCTGAACTCCATGGGTATGTATCAAGCACCCACTTTGAGGGATCTTCCCAAGGTGCACGTTTCCCATACATCTAAAAGGAATCACATGTAGAACATCTTAAATACCTTTCTAGTCAGTAAAACAGATGGCTGCCAACTGAATGATTCATTTGCTCTTTACCTTGTTATAGAACTTTCAAGGGAATAATATCTCCTTTGGCTACATGTTTTAAGATTTTAAATATACATTTTTGCCAATATAGTTCACTTAAAATTTGAAGGCAAAACAATATGATGAAGATTTGTTTTAAATACATGTAAAACTGATTGTCAATGTTTAATTATTAAAAACCAAGAAAATATAAAATTAAGAAAGAAAAGTTCTAATTATTGAGAAAGAAAAATAATGAACTTAGACACTAAGTAAATGTCTCTATAAAAGTAGACTTTAAAAAGATCATAAAAAAGAAAAGACTTAATCGGCTCCCTTTACTTTAAACTTTCTTTGGGAATGTGAATAAAATCTCTGATAATAACCTCCTTAGATTAACTTTTTCTAATAATTTCATGACTTCCTATAAAAACTCTTTTTAAGGTATTTATTTATAAGAAGAGCATCAAAGAAGCTGAAAAAAAGAAAGATAAATGGAAGCAACAGTGTTGTTAAGATGCACATTAAAAAAAGCAAATTACAAAACGAATATCTAGATCAACTAATGATAGCCTTTGAGAATAAAACAGATATTTCACAAATACAACTGAAAGGGGCATTTAAACATTCAGAAGGAGATAAGCTGATTGTCCATATTTCAAGAGAGAATCACCAGAGTGAAATTCAGAATCCACTGCATCACCGGCTTTTATCCCTACTAAAACATCTGGCCAAGAGAGTATTATACATGTGCTTGCTCATCAAAACATCAATCTTGCATTTGAGAAGAAATTCTTCAATTATATTCAACAGAGATTATTTTTATTTCTTTTCCACTGTAAGGGATTGAACCAAGACTTCTTACAAAGCAAATGTTCTATTGCTAAACTACATTTCCAGCCTCAACATAAACTATCTTTGCAATGGTTGCTTTTCTGCCCCTTTCTTCAAGTCAATGTTCTTTGATGCCAATATATCCAAAAGATTGGCTCGGGGCAAATTGTTCCCTTCCTGTTCCTTCAGGAAATCTGTAGGTACCACTCTAAGAATACCATTGGCTGATTAATTTCAGACCAAGCACACCCTTCACTAGAAAGGAGAAGCGTCTAACTACCAAAGGACTTTCAGTTTTTTTCAGCTAGATTGCACATTCCTTCTCCCCCACTTCTTATTTCTGGATTGATTCTGCTTTCATTCTAACCTATGACCACAAACTAGAACTTCATCAGGAAAGTTAGAATATTTTTCTTTCTCTTCAGAATTAATTTTGAACTATCTTTGCATTATGGTTTGAGAAATTGGTATTGCTTTAATAAATATACTTAGGCTCAAATGGAAAGTTTATAGCATTATTACATAGTATTCTATCAATGGCATTAATAAACTAAATTCTTTTGTTATTAAAAACTGAGATATAGGAAAGACAGACTTTGAAAACAAGTACTGCTTTTGAATTTTAAAAGTCTTTCATTTTAATATATTTGTAAAGAAATACAAAATATAAATTTCATATATAAATACTTGAATGAAAATTCAATACTGAATTATCTCATACAGATACTTAACATCTAGACACAAAATTATTTATATGCTAATTTAAACATAGTGACTTCTAGAATACTATAAAAAACATTTCCATTCATTGTTTTTGTTTAAAGGATCTAATTTGAAAAATCCATGTCACAATTTAGGCAGTAAAAGTTTTTGTGGAATCATAAAAGTGTTGTTATTCTTGAAAAAGGAAAAAATCTTTGGTATATTATTTCAGTTCCTGATGCCAATTGCTAGGGTTAGATTGAATTATATCCTTAAAAATATGAAATCAGGTTATTTAAATCTGAGGTAGAACCAACTGATAGCATTTTCTAGGATCATTATCTCTGCATGTTTAGAACATCTTTAAAATATTCACTATGTTCAACAGAACAATTGTGTTTATTTTAAGTAATCCCATACCTTTTCCTTAGGTGAAAGGAGCATATTAGGAGGAATTGAAAGGACAGAAAACAGATAAGAAAGATTCAACAGATTTTGCAGATGACAAAATGTGAAAAGACTGAGCTCTGTCTTAATTCCAGCAGCAATCATGCTAACTGGAAATAGAAATGACTAAGCAAAAATTTTCCAACCTTGGCTTAGTTATTGAAAAGATGACTATTTTTCTACAGTAAGTTCAATGCTACGCAAGAGAAATAATAAAGATTTAACTCTGAGTTTGATAATTCTACAATTTCATAAAATTTCAACTAAAACTTAAGTAAACAGTAAGATTGATGGAAAAGCAAGATATTTTATTGAGGGAACACAGTTTACTTATTAAGGGTATATTTTGGATGTTTTAGTTTGTAATAAAAAGAAAGGGAGGTTGCAATGACTTGTGATGTAAAATAAAATAAATGGGAGGATCAGCAAAGATTTGAACACACACCAAACACACACACTCACCACAAACACAACACACACACATATACACACACAACCCCCCCCCCCCCACACACACACATACACACACCCCAGTGAACTCCCTTGGAATCAAGAGTACTACTATCAAGACAGAAATAAGGGTCTTCTTGCAAGTAATATTAAAGAGAAACTAACAATGAAATATACTAGAAATGAGGAATCTACGTAAGAAAAACTACAGATCACAAGTTATAGAAGAGGATAAATTATAAAGGCACATGTAAACATGCTTTAGGAAAAGAGACTGTGAAATTGACTAGACTTTCTAATAATAGCCATCTGCAATCACCAACAGCAATAAATTTGACTATCAATGTAAAGTTGTTGGAGGAACAATGTTTTGTCTTTCTCCTACATATTTGCTCCATGATATAAAAAAATATAATAATCTTTAAAACTTTAACACTCTATTTATAATATTTCTGTCTTTATATATCCACATTGAGATGTATGCTTATACTTTAAAATGAAGACATTTTGCATTCCTTTAACAGTAAAGAAAATTGTGTACTATACCTGAAGCCCTTCTCTCACTGCCTCCAGAATGTAAGGAACCAAAGAATAATTCCAAAGATCCATGAACCATACTCTAGAACCTTCTACATCCATAGGGCAAGAAAGAAAAAGTCTTGGACCTGAAAAGAAACAAAAAAGACATTTTTGAAAATCATTATATTTTACAATTTTGATACATTTAGATACCATTTGGGCTTGATAAATGCTTTTATAGGAGTCTTAGAAAACTTTAATCCTGGCTAGTTTGTGGATTATTAAAGTACATTTTACTGAAAACATAATCCCCAGGACTCTCCTTTTACTCACATAAAATTTCTTTTTGCCTTTTTTGGGGAGTGGGTCACACCCAACGATGCTCAGGGATTATCTCTGGCTCTGTACTCAGAAATTATTCCTGTTAGTGCTTGGGGGACCATATGGGATGCCGGGGATCAAACCTGGCTCGGGCGTATGCAAGGAAAATGCCCTACCCTCTGTACTATCGCTCCGGTCGCATCACATTAAAAATTTTATCTGAGCGGCCAGAGCATTAGTAAAGAGGATGATAAGGTGTTTGCCTTGCTTGCAGCTGACCAGGTTTGGTGCCTGCTACCACATATGGTTCCATGAGCCTTTCCAGGAGTAATCCCTGATCTAAGAGCCAGGAATAAGACCCAAGCAGGTGTGACCCCAAAACAAACAAACAAAACAAATGTATCTGAAACAAAATTTAGGGTTAAGAGAAATCTTAAATAAAGTTCATAATTTGGTCAATCTGACTCATTTCACAAATGATAAAACTGCCTAAATCAACTGCCAAATATGTCTCTATTGCTTCTGATCCCAAAGGTAGTATTCTCTATCTCCTGATCCCAAAGGTAGTATTCCTTCTAATTCACACTGTGTCTTTAGTGAGCAAGTTTTTAGAATCAGTAACAATGTCAGAGGCACTTTTGCATATACAAGCTTAAAAGAAATACAAAATTCAGCATTTTCATTTCAACTCAGGAGATATATTGAAATAACTCAACAATCTCTAATTCAAAATGAGCATTAACTGAAATACACTTTCACAAGATATATCATTTAAGTGAACATCTAATCTTTAGATATTTGTCTATTTTGAACTTAATCTTAGAACATCTCAGTGTATGAAACTGACAGGCAAAATGAATCTAACAGGATGAGAAGCTCAAAGGAAGGCAAAGTTTCAGGAGAAAAAAAAAAAAGGAAACTTAAATCTTTAGAAGCTTGAAAAACATTAGCTTCACTTGTTATTTTCTACCATGCAATCTGGAGATCTTTACCACGTACTCTTAGTTCCTGGAAAATGGCATATTGCAAATTTAGAACTTACCAATGGTAACATCAGAAGAACTGTGTGTTTCCAAAAAACTATTGAGATGATGCCATGTCTTAGGAATCCAATCTATAATTTTCACTAGGTCATTATTACGTGTGTTCCTTTCAATTTCTATTTCTATTAGTTTCCTTCGAAGATATCTGCCTAAAAAGCCTTTCACAGGTTCTGTGTGATTTGCACATAGGACCCACCTGCAAATAGAAAAACAACAACAAATGATATCTTTACATAAAGATAATATTAAATCCATAGTAACTCATTTTCAAGCATAAAAGTATAAGGTAATAATATTTTAACTGGTAGTCACATTTTGAATGATGATCTGGTTAGGAGGCTTATTAGCATTAGAGTTCTACTCTAAGGTAATTTTCTTTTTTGAGTGAAAGAGAGGCTCGCGTGAGTCAGAAGACAGTGGGAGTATATAGGCTGAGCGCTCTTCTGTAGAGGAATCACAGATCTAGAAATAGGAACTCTGTTCACATCTCTTATACTTGGAATATAAGGGCTCTACTTTAGCTGATGACACAGTAAGCAGGAAAAACATTGACTTTTCTTTTTATTTTTTTTTCCCAAAGAAACACTTCTGATTACAGGCTGGGTATCACAAAATGTCTGCTCAAGAAAGAGTGTGAGAAGAAGTGAGAATTATTTTCACACCACAGGTCACCAAAGGAAAGATCTGTCAATGTACAAATGGAAAAAAAAAAAACACCAAAAGCAAATAGAAAGAGATGATAAAAGGAAAAAAGAAACACCCAATTCCCAATTTATCTTTACCTGAAATTATGATGCAGCTCTAGATTTGGTGATGAAGAAACTCCCTGATTCATCGTTCCAATAATATATGGACTAGAGAAATAAAAGAATAGAATAGGTTGATGTACCGATGAAATTGAGTTGAGTATGTTTAAATTATTTTAGAAAGCAACGCAGAATAATATGAATTTCTTCATTTTACTTTATTTTGCTTTATTTTATTTTTTAATCTTTCAGTGACACCTTATAGTATATCCTGGTAGTACTCCAGATCCATGTGTGTTGCAGGGAATTTGATCCTGTGTCAGAGGAAGCAAGACAAGTGCCTCAATCTCTGGCATCCCTCCAGCCCATGGATTACTCCATTTTAATGTTAGGCTTTAAAAGAGTAATTTTTAAATGTTATATTGGCAAACAACAAACATCAATAAAATGGAAATTCAGATTTAGGTTTATAATCCTAGCTCTAGTGTCATGGGCAAATAACTTTTCCTGTGTCTGATTTCACACATCAGAAAATGAAAAGGTTAGAAGAATCACAATGATTTATATTCCGTGCTAAAATGTTGTCATAAACAAATTCACTAATTTTTCCTGCTTTATAATTTTCAGCTATTTTAAAGGTTCTCTATGACATGAAACAACTCATATTTCAATGCTTATTTATTCAGATATATTTTAATAATGTTTCATTTTAGCAGAGCTTAACTAGGATATTTGCATAAAAAATATTATTTGTGTGATCGGTGATAGGAGCGGGCACAGCTCTTTAATTAAACACTTTTTCCTAAAATAAACTAGTATTTGTATTGCTGCTCTTTCATGTTCATTTTTAGAAGTAATACTATAGTGAATCTTGAATGGTTTTAAGTCTTAGCCAGAAGAGGCATTTTGGGCCACACCAGATGTTCTCCAAACTTACTCCTGGCTCTGTCTCATGGATCACTCTGGTTCTCAAGTCTTATTCTAGTTTTTCTTTTCTTTTTTTTCTTTTTTTGCCACACTTGGTGATGCACAGGGATTACTCCTAGCTTACGCACTCAGGAATTACTCCTGGCGGTGCTCAGGGGACCATATGGGATGCTGGGAATCTAACCAGGGCTGGCCACTTGCAAGGCAAATGCCTTACCCGCTCTACTAGTGCTCCAGCCCAACTAGTTTTTATTTTCTTGAATCAAATGTTCTATCACTTACATTGTTTTCCTAGATGATCAACATATCTACAGAAGCTAATATCACAAGTTAATGATATTTCCATAAAAATTCCTGTAACTGGGACTGGAGCAATAGCACAGCTGGTAGGGCATTTGCCTTGCATGCGGCCGACCTGGGTTTGATTCCCAGCATCCCATATGGTCCCCTGAGCATCACAGGGGTGACTCTTAAGTGCAGAGCCAGGAGTAACTCCTGTGCATTGCCAGGTGTAACCCAAAAAGAAAAAAAAACACATTCCTGCAACTTAGTTATGAATAACTAAATATATTCTCTAAGGAATATATAGGGAATCTCAGAAACACAGCATAATATTAATGAGGGTATCTAAACTGAACAGTTTTGCAAGATCTTCACAGGTATAAAAACACAAAAAATCAAATTTGATCACCATGGTTTTATGTTTCATCACTCAAAAATATTTCATGACATACCATTTGTTGTATTTACAGTTGAGAAATCCATTGAAGATATCACTCAGAGAGCCCACATGATGAAGGTTATCAAGAATTATCACAACTGGGAGCTCCACACTGTTATTATCAGCACTGCACTGTTCCGCCAGATTTGCTAGATATTGTTGTAATTCCTTTAAAAAGTAGAGAAAACAAATACATCAATGGTACATACATACTAATATTTTGTTCTCTGGATATGGTGCTTTGAAGAAATAGGTGTTTTGTTTTTTATTCACTAGCTTTGGCTAAATCTCACTGATCATTCCATTTATATAAAAACTTTAATTTAAAAAGCAAAACAAATAGAATGCTAAAAATGCATATTTTTAAAAGGAATGCACACCAATACAGAATATATGTAGCAAATAAAAACCTGCAAACATAAAAGAATATTTCTCAGTTGTTTTTGAACCCAGAGGAAAGCAAAAAAAAAAAAGTAGGAGGAGGAGGAGGAGGAGGAAGAGGAGGAGGAGGAGGAGGAGGAGGAGGAGGAGGAGGAGGAGGAGGAGGAGGAGGAGGAGGAAGAGGAGGAGGAAGAGGAGGAGGAGGAGGAGAAGGAGAAGGAGAAGGAGGAGGAGAAGGAGAAGGAGAAGGAGAAGGAGAAGGAGAAGGAGAAGGAGAAGAAAAAGCATCCTGGATCCTGGATCTGGGTTTTATGATAAACCTCAACTGCAGAAACTACCCTCTTATTTTGGTATTTCAGTGACAAAAATGCATTTTAACAGGTATTATAATTTCAGTATAATGTGAATCCAAAAGACACCCTTAAGTTTCCACTAATAATTTAAATAATTTCTTTCCAGTTCATTTTAAGGGAACACATTTGAAAGCACAGCTCTGGGACATGGATAAAAATGTGGTTATTTAGATATTTATCTGCAATCTGCACACAACTATTATAGTGCTAAGAAAAGACAAAATCTACTGTGTTTTATTGGGTCACTTGACATTTGCATTTAGCATTTTTGAGCTTCTTGGTTCTTTTACAGGTATTATTACTGTCTAATAGCTTTTAATCTAAATATGATAACCAATTCGCTGATTGACTGCTCTCACAGATGGATAGGCCAAGAACGTAATTAGGTTTCTTGGAATTATCCTAATCAGTAAGAGCATTTCCATAATATTTGCATATTTACAATGACATTTTCAATTTATGAATCTTGCTCAGGTTTAAAAAGAAAACTCCCATGATCCAAATTCTTGGCAGTCAGGTAAATATGTGAACCATTCTCCCTAGATGCTGCCTCTCTTAATAATATTACTTTTAGAAGTAGAATGGAAAGAAATAAATTATAAAGGTTAAGGTTTTTGTTTGTTTTGTTGTTTTGTAAGTAATAATCAAATTTATTTCACTAATATGACTACATTAAGTCATTTCTTAATAACAGAATCACAATACATCTACTGTGCTTAAAGTTCCAGAATAAATCATTTTTGTGTACAAAAATAGTAAACCAGAAATACATTTTAACATTATGAATGAATAGTAAATAGGGAATAAAATATGGGTAAAAAGGGGCAGTCAGACTACCTTTTTAACTGTGAGTTCAAGAAATATCACATTAAGGAATGAAAATTTAAATATGCTTAATTATTTGATTTTAGTAACTTCTAGTTGTGCTTCCTAACTCAGAAAAGTACAGGAAGATTAGTTTTCCTTCTTCTGGAAAAAAATTTTTTTGTGAATGTAGTAAAGGAGCTTGAGTGGTCACACATAACCAGAGAACCTAGATAATGTAATAAGCATCTTGTGATTCTTCAAAGAGAATATTGAAAGAGAGATGGAGGTGCTGGAGAGATAGTACAGTGGGTAGGATCCACACAAACAACTCAAGTTCAATGTCCAGAACCACATATGATCCTCCCCAAGTCCTCCCAGGAATGATCCCTGACCACAGAGTCAAAAGTAAGCCCCAGACACTGACAAGTGTGATCCCCAAACAAAATCAAACAAAAATAGGGATATAATTTATAGAAGGATAGAATAGTTAATTCTAACCAGGGAGAGGTGAGGTTCTGATGGGCTTCCTAGCAAGATAGCATTTGAGATAAAGGTAAAGGTAAAGGCCCTCCCGTTGATCGTCGATTTGCTCGAGCGGGCCCAGTAACGTCTCCATTGGAGATTTTGTTGTTACTGTGGCTGGCATATCGAATACTCTCGGTAGCTTGCCGGGCTCTCCGAGATAGATTCTGAAATATTAATAGAGTTCAGGCCAATAACTAATTCAAAATATAGCATGAGAAGTGAAATGCACACAACACTACAGGATAGATAAAGAAAGACATCAAACCTTAAGGTTCAGAGAACCACAGGGTACAGCTGGGAACACTATTGAAGTCTAGAAGAGTGAAAGCTGGGAAGTATGAATTTGAGATAAGTCTGGGCAAATGATAAATACTGGAGAATTTATATATATATATAACATACCATATAACATATAACATATCATATGTTATAGCAGTGGTCTCAATAAAAAAAGACATAGCAAAGAATTTGAATTTATATAAATTTTTTTTGATCTTACCACAAATACATAGAGGAGTATCACTAAAGTGTTAGTTTTGTATTTGTTTTCAGTAGGGGAAGGCTATTTCTTTATCAAAGGAAAGATAATAATGAAAGTTAGAATGATTGGAAACAAAGAAAGTATTGAAGAAACTTAATGCCTGAAATCAAGGTTAGGTATGCATGTAGCTATGTACAAATACATATGCATCTATATTTCCACATATATAATTTGCAGTTTAAAACAAGATATCTATATCTATATTCCAAAGATTTTCCTGGGAGGATGGATTAGGTTACATTTAGCTATTCTGAGGGTTCACTCCTGGCAGTAATCAGGGTGCCAGGATCAAACCTGGGTCAGCTACATGCAGAGCGAATGCCTTACCTACTGCGCTTCCTGTTCCCATACCAAAGACTTTGTTCAAAATATAAAGATTATTTGTAGTTGCTGGGCAGGTCTTTCTGGACTGTATTAATTGCAATCAATCTTTTATTTTTAATATTAGATCAGAGTGTGATGCTAAATTGGGAGAATGGTCTTATAAGGAGAAAAAAATGACAAAGGCAGAAATGGAAAAAATATTGAGCAGGTAATTAGTAGAATATATTTTGTGAAAAAGAACAGTAGTAAACAAATAATAAAAGGTTTGTAATTTTCAATGAACTTTTGGCAGTAAAGAAACACAAAAATATTCTGGGATCTCAGTAATGTGATAATTATTTCAGAGTGGTAGATATATCTGAAAGGTAGCACTGCACTGTAGCACTGTCCTCATGTTGTTCATTGATTTGCTCAAAATCAGTTACAAGAATATAAAACATGTTGAGACTAGGAGATAATATTGGACTGTATAGAAGATAGCAGAAGTGTGGGAAGATACAGTGTAGAGAAACAGTGGGATTTTAATGTGTGGTCAGATTTTAATTAGGAAGAGATATTCTATTTCCCATGAGAAAAAAGAGTAAAGACAGAAAGCGAGAAAAATGAAATTAAACAGAAGTTGTGCATCAAGCAGCTTGATAAAAAAAATTGCAATAGTCTAAGTGACAGAGTGTTAATTTGGTTGGGCTTTTGGTCATAATGGTGATGGATGAAGATGGGTTTCTAATATGCTTTTTCAAAGTTGATATTGTCATGGCTATATATTTATATTTACTATGCCAGTTAAATCTATCTAAAAACAAATAAAAGGATATATCTGGAAAGTATGCTTAACTAACAGTCACTGTCACTGTCCTCCCGTTGTTCATCGATTTGCTCCAGTGGGCCCAGTAACATTGTGAGACTTGTTACTGTGTTTGGCATATCAAATATGTCACGGGTAGCTTGCCAGGCTTTGCCGTGTGGGTGAGATACTCTTGGTAGCTTGCCGGGCTCTCCGAGAGGGGTGGAAGAATTGAACTCAGGTCCGCTGTGTTGGCCGTGTGCAAGGCAACCGCCCTTCTGCTTTCAACATCTGTTAATGTCAGTATTCAACTGACATCAACAGATGCTGAAAGCAATAGATACCAGATAAGAGTGGAAGTGGAGAGAACAGAGTATCAGGAAACATTTTCATTTGCTGGTAGGTGGAAAAAGAGAAGTCAGAAAAAGAGAATGAGATGAGATTACGAGAGAAGAATTTCTCTAAAGGGAAATTCAAGGATAGTAATTTTTTTCATGCAATCAAAACGTGAAAGAAAAGAGAGACTGAGAAAAGAAGCAAAGTACATTGAATTTGTCTTTAAGATGTCTTTGTTTAGCTTGTGAAAAAGCAGAACCAGTAGACCATATTATGGTTCTTTCAGTAGATCTTATTAAGCATCTAGTGAGAACTGGTCTTGAGTAGGAAATAGGCCCCTTGTGGGGAAGAGGAATGGGGGCTACAACTATGGTGAAGGGAAGTGTTCAACAGAGCTGATGAAGTGGTACTGAAAGTGCTATGCTTGAAACCCTACCAGTAATGGCACTGTAAATCACAGTGAAAATAAAAAACTAAAAAATTAAATAAATAAAATAAAAAGAAGTGCATCTCATAGAGGCAGACTGGTGGGTGGGAGGCCATCAGAGGCTGGGTGAGGGCATTGAGGAAGGAAAGCTATTCTGGGGAAGGGAGCAGTGTTATAACATTGTAAACCCGAAAACCTGTTATGAATAATTTTGTCATTTCACAGTGACTAAACAAATTGTTTTAATTTAAAAAGGAGGGGGAGGAGAAACTAGCGGAATCTACAGAATAGACACAAGGACAAATAGGCATACACAGATAATTTTGCCATAATATTTGAGGTCTTTTTTACAGACCCCCCTCTGAAATTACTCTATGATCCCAACTTGAATTTACTTGGGGTAGAACCTTAGACTGAAGTGTTGATAAAAAATTTTGTTAGAATCCTAATTAAGCAGAAGAAAACATATATCTACCAGATGGATACTGAAAATGAGAAAATCCCATACTTTGAAAATATACAGAGAACACAGCAGTTAAATATATATATGCACATATATATATACACACACATATATATACACATACATTTAATATGTGTGTATATATATATTTTAAGAAAAAAAACAAACTGTTTTTCACTGCTTCCAGACACATAAGAAATGCATCTGCCAAGTCCAGTTTTTTGATATTTTCCCATCTAACATTCCAAGTGGCTTCAGCTGGCCACATATTCTTTACTAAATCCATCTCTATTATTCTGGGCCTGCTATATCAAATGTCACAAAGTGTAATTGTTCATATATATTGCTCTCAATCAAAAATTCCAGCTGGCAGCTTGAAGGAGGGCTTGAAGAGTAAGAAGAGGGACAGAATGTAAAATGCAGAGGTATCAAATACATGAAAAGATTCTTTTTTCATTTGATGGTTCATTGTTCAATTTCTTCCTTTTTTTCTTTTCTTCTTTAAACCAGAAAGTGCTTTTTGGCTTTGTCTCTTCAGTGCTGTCTAAGGCATTACAAAAAGCCCATCAGCAATTATACAGCTCCATTTTTCAGAGAAAGGAGATATTGCTTCTTTTCTCATTCACATTTTACAGTAGCAAAGCTATCCAGTTTGCTACATCGCCACATACCATCTCAATTTGCCATCCCTATTCCTTTATACCACTCTTGTCACTGCCCTCACCTCCGCTCCAAGAAAATACACTGAAATCCTGGACAATTTGGCCACATTTTCTGGCAACCACTCTGTATTTAGCCTTACTGGCAGCCAGTCAAAATCTTATCGGCAAAAAGAAATAATAAACATTGCAGTTACAGTTTGCACTGAACGCTTACTCAGTTACTTTCCTTACTTGCCTGGGATTTCTTCCTTTTTAGTATTTTCAGTTCTGTTCAGACACTCTTGGCAAGGCTTTCTTCTTTATCCATTATTTTGCAATAAATAAATAAGTGATTCAAGTGGTTTTAGTTTGAAAGAGCAGAAAATAAGCGTTGGGCCAAGGGGACAGCTCTGGGACCTGGAGTGCCAGTCTTGCATGTTAAGAGGGCAAGCCTGCAGCCTGGGGAAGCAGCCCGGGTAGAGCTTGGCCTGGTAATTCTGCTCTTTGTGCCTGGCAGCTCTGCCTCCCATGATCCCCAGGCACAAGCCAGCTGCACTGCAGCCAGAAGTGTGGAAGTGCTTCAGTTGGAAATAAATGTGGGCATGGTGGGCACAGTGGGCAGGAAGCGCAACTGCTGGGGAGCATGTATGAGCACCACAGAGACTCCTGACCAAACCAGACTGTGGGAGTCCACAATTGTGTTTGTAATTCTTAGTCATCATAATAGCAACAATATAGAAAGGAAAGTTTTTTTAGTTTTTTGTTTTTGCTTTGTTTTTTGGAGCGATAGCACAGTGGGTAAGACATTTGCCTTGCACGCGGCTGACATGGCCAACCTGGGTTCGATTCCTCCACTCCTCTCGGAGAGCCTGGGAAAGCTACCAAGAGTATCTCGCCCGCACAACAAAGCCTGGAAAGCTCCCCTGTGACGTATTCAATATGCCAAAAACAGTAACAACAAGTCTCACAACTTGTTGTGAGGCTGATGCCCGCTTGAGCAAATCGATGAACAATGGGACAACAGTGCTACAGTGCTACAGTGCTTTGTTTTTTATTTTAAAAAAATATATAGTGGGTAAATACGGGGGGGAAGAAAACTGCTGGCAATATTAGATTAAACTGGTTGTCATTGTTTTCTTTGTTCTGCATTCAGACTTGGAGGTGCTCAGTGTTTTCCCCTGGCTCTGTGCTCAGAGATCATGCCAAAACAATGCTTAAGGGACCAAGTGATGTCTGGATCTAACCCACTCCTCCCTCATTCCAAACATATGCACTGGCCCTTTAAGTCTCTCGCTGGCCCTTTGAATGATTTTTAAATGCCACTCATATAAACGCACTGATTAGATGATTTTTCAGTACCAAACATTGGGGGTTTAAGGAGACTGGGCTTCCACTCTCGAACTCTAGGGGCCATTTGTGGTAATACTCAGCACAGAGGTATGAGGTTTGAGCATCTGGCATCGATTCCAGCACTACTGGGATTCACTAGGGCTACATATGTTAGAGCTCAGTTTTTAGGTGTCATCAGGGCTATAGTTGACAGTAATGTGGAAAGGTATATTGTTCTTGGGATCCAAATCAAATATGCAAGGGCATGAGAAAGCATTACTTCCCTGGCACTAAACTTTTTCCCCCCAAATTCAAATAAAGAAAATAAATAAACAGTGTATTTAGTGGTTGTTTTTAGTGATGCTCAAGGGACCATGTGGTATTCAGGATAAAGCCAGGGTTGGCTACATACAAGACATGTGCCTTATTCCCTTGCACACTCTCCTTAGCCTTTACAAGGTTCTTTATTTTACTCTGCATGTATAAAAATAATGGTTATATTTTATAGTCTCTCTTGCCTATTTAATAACTGAGTGATCAGGATCATTATTATGGTGCATTAGAATTTAGTCAATGGTAAAATGGAATATGGTTCAATTTCTAAGTTTTATAAGAAATCATACAGAATATAAATAATGTAAGCAAATTGCTTTTCCCAGAATTTCTGCTTTAATATTTCAAATAGCCAAACTACATGTGGCTGTAACACCCTCATTTAATTCCTACTTATTTACTAAGACCCAGAAGACCCAGACTAAAATTTTCCTTTTTTCAAAAAAAAAAAAAAGTTCTGATTTCTCCAGGGAGTTATTGTTTCCTCTTACTTCTATAACACTCTGCATAGGACTCTTTTCACTCTAACACTGTCCAAATAAATGTCTAAGAGAAACCTACCAATAGGGTCTGCCATTTTCCTCTACATTCTAAATGCTGTGGAATACCTCACAGCTGAATGCACTTGAATTGTCTTTTTCAAATTCAGGAAACAGAGTTTAGTCATCTGCCACATTCTAAGTGTAATCAAAGATGGATATGTTTTCAGGTACACTATGGACACTTCACACCATCTTGAGCTTAATTGCTTGACACTTATGGATAAATAGCAGCCATTCTCCTAGGAGGTTGTGACTTACCTTACTTGACTTGTGGTCCACATTAAAAGTGGCTATTGCATCCTCTGTTTTTTTCCTCCCAGATTTTGTTATTACATATTCAGCAAGTTTGTTTGCTAAATAGGTCTTTCCAGTACCACTTGGTCCTGAGAGTATAATTCTGTGATGCTCCATCAACAAGTTAAAGTACCTTTGGGTAATTGGTTTAGGAATCAGCGTATCAAAAACAAAACTGTCCAAACTGTTTTCTTCTACCCCTGAAGGAAGAAACAATGGGAATAGCATGGCTTATTGTTTTACATAAGCTAAAATTTAAAGGATGGAGTCCATTGACACGACGTTTTATAGTGGTAGAAATGCAGTCCTTGCAAAACGCTTTCCTTGCTCTTTCTTGCCCACAAAATGAGGTGCCATTTTAAAATGGAGAAGATCAGTAATAAGGCAGAGGGAATCTGCCAACAAAAGCAAGTCATATCTTTTAGCTCAGGTTTCCCTTCATTGTCTATTTCATATTTTTCATTTATATTTTCAGAAAGAAATGGGAGTATTACTATAAATTCTATCATAAAATCACCCTTCCCTTTGAAGGCAGTAGTTTCTTGAGAATAAATGTGAAGCTTGAAATATAAAATATCCATTTTCACAAATACCCATTTGCACATCCTTATTTTTCCTCTTCCTCTGCTAACTTCATTTTTTCATTACAGATCCTCACCGTGCAATCACATTTTTGAAGAATATAAATGGTAGTATTTAAAAAGGAATTATAGAAAGCAATAGTATTTTTTGCTAATAAAATTGTTTTAATTATAAAGTCAAATATTGATAAATTCACTATTAATATTGGCTTATATATATTTTCTCTGTTTTTGAAACAGCACAAATTAGGAATTATGGAAACAAGTATACTGCAGATATATAATTTGTCTATCATCAATCATGTTCTCCAAAGCAAGTAAAACAGAAGTTCATTCTTAATTCTAAATTTTCATAGTTTATCCCAAGTGGTAGTTATTATACATATTTTAAAATAAAAATATGCATATAAAATTTTAGTAAATGCAATAAATTTCTGAATTCTCCCTAAATGAGAAAACCTAGGAATCTGATATTTTCCAAATGATATTCTTCTGTGTGAATCTCAGAGATTCCTCAAAATTCTGTTTCAGATTCCAGAAACAAACAAAAAAATCACATATTGAGATATTAGTGTTTCTAGCAGAGTTTTTGCTGTTTTGAAAATAAATATGACCCATTTTGTATCCAAAATACTAAGTAGCAGCTTTTAGATGCAAAATTTTGAAAAGAAAGTGCCAAAAATGATATGACTCAAAAATACAATTGTGCTTTTCTTTCCATTTTAATATTTTACCTTTTAGGTGCACAGTGATGATGTTGTTATCTCCCACCAGGTATCCACAAGGCAGCAGTTCTGGGACTTCTAGGCTATGGGATCTAATTAAGTCTCCTATACTGTAGCTAGCAATGCAGTCAGAGCTGAGACCAAGGCTTGTAGAAGTATCAATTCGGAACACATATTCCTAAAATGGAATACATGAAAAAGTCATAACAGAATCAACTCAACTACAACAAACTGAAAACTGATAGGAATATGAATCTAGATGTCAAGAGCTTTAGACACATGTGCTATCAGAACTACAGATATCAGCAAACATAAAAAGAATTCCATTTAATATTTGAAATGTAGAGGAAAATTAAATGTGTCTGCCCATTAAAACTAAGAAAAATATATGAAGTGAAATATAGTTTAAATTAATATTAGGAAACTATGCACAATACCTTAAAGAGACGTCTAATGACACCGTCTAAGACATCCCATTTGGTTTTTCCACTCACACCAATGGATCCTATTAAATATGCTTGAGACTTCTGATCCTAAATAAAAGAAATAATATAAGTAATTGAGAAACATAATAACACAATATTATAGTAGAAATAAAAATATTGAAAGAACCAAATTGGTTATTTTGTTATATTACTAAATTTTCTACTAAAATGTACCAACTTAATAGTACTTAAAACCAAGTTACTTATTAAATCTATGGATTTTATCGTAACAGATACATTGTGGATTGTGCAATATAAAGCATACCCCAATGGACTAACCAATCAAACAAACAGAACAAAGTAACAGCAGAAATTACAAGAAGAAAGGGGTAGATAGAGTGGTATATGAAAGAAAAACTGGGTGAGTCCCTGTTCATTTGAAGGGAAACAGTTAGAAGTCTTCTGTTCTGATGTACAGAGCACATCCTGAAGAGAAGAAGGATAGGAAGAAAATGATGATATAAATGGCATAAAACTGAGCCCCAGAATTAAGTGATTGATAGAGATAGCACAGGTTTAAGTCCTACAATTTCATTTTACTACTTAGTTTTCCCATTTGTTAGACTGTCTCTAGAATTTTGTAGAATTTGTTTACCTTTATTCTGGAGGTGCCCTCACCTCCAGAATAAACAAACAAACAAACAAACAAACAAAAAACCCTCTCTTTTATGTGAGACATATGCAAATATGGTAAGAGAACTATTGCCAGCCACTGGAACTGGAGATTTTGTCTATAGAACTGAGCTTACATGGAAGGGAGTTTAGGACGAGCCCTTTGGATACTGAGTGAGGTGGATGCAGTGTTGGAACAACATTCACATGAAAAGTTGTATTAACAGTATTATAAATCCCAGTACCTCAACAAAAATAAACACAATTTCCTAGCACTGTAGCACTGTCCTCCCGTTGTTCATCGATTTGCTTGAGCGGGCACCAGTAATGTCTCCATTGTGAGACTTGCTGTTACTGGTTTTGGCATATCAAATATGCATTGGTAGCTTGCCAGGCGCTGCCGTGCGGGTGGGATACCCTCGGTAGCTTGCCGGGCTCTCCGAGAGGGATGAAGAAATCAAACCCAGGTTGGCTGCATGCAAGTCAAACGCTGTGCTATCAATGCAGTATAGCTTTAAAAATCAGTTTTCTGTTGTAGCATGGAATTTGTACATATACAGCATTGGTTCCATTTTGACTTTATTTAAAATATTTACTTCCTAAAAGAACTTGCCAGCCAAGCATGTGTAGATATTTGGCAAACAGAACTGTGAAGTAATAAATTAGTAGTGTTTTAAACCATTAAGTTTGCAGAATTTTTTTTAAGTGGCTACAGAAAATTAATATAGCTACTATGAAGAAACTATTATTATTTATTATTCAGTACTAAAATTAAATCTAGCTTGTGCCTGTTCTTATGTTAGCATGAGAAAGGAACTTAATAAATGATCTTATAACATCTAAAACAAAAATAAAATAACTTTATTTCTTTTTTTTTCAGAGAATTCTATAGGGCTCATTTTATTCAGTACTTTGTAATATAAAACAAGGCCTGAAATGCATCCCCATTCCCAAACCCTCCCCAGCCTACCCCCTCCACATCAGATGTTCTATGGATGAGAAATTTCTATATCCATTAGAAAGGTAACATTTTCAAGATTTATAGTGTAATTGTAGCCTTTTAAAATGATAATCAGAAATGGGTATGTGAAATAGCGATCATGAAATCCGTAGACGTAATTAGACAGCTGATATAATTCTGGTCTTGCCATCAATTGCATGGCCTTAAAGACTTGGTAGAAAAATAATTGTATCCTATATTGGAAGACATGGATTCTTCAATATACAGATCTGTCTTCTAATTAGACAAACAGGACATTAGATAAGTCACTTAGCTCAAAATCTCATTATTTTCACCTGTAACATTTAACTCTTTAAGAGCAAACAATTGTTGGCATTATTTAGATATTATTCAAATTAGAAGTCAATAGATTTTCCAGAAAAAATCACAGCAGAGTCATGATGTGCTTTTAGAAAATAGATTAATTTGGCGGGAGGTTTATGTAACTTCAAATTCATATATTAAAATCATCAAGTGTGAGGGCTTTTGCAAAGGGGGCGTTTTGGAAGAGATGTGAAATAGATTAGGTTATTGGAGTAGCAAGGCCATGGTGGGTGGCATCATTTGTAGTGAAAGAGAGAGGGTGGTCTCTCTTTCTACAAGTCCAAACACTGAATATAGGCCATGGAAAAATTTAAAGAGAAAGTGGCCATATACCACTTGAGAAAAGACCCTGCCCTAGAAATCAAATCAGTCCGCACCTTGATCACAGATTTTTAAAACTGTAAAATAATTAATTTCTGTTATCTTTAGCTATCCATGTCATTTTATTATGGAAATTCTTCAAGCCTTTTGATGTATTTTTGAATTATTTTGAAAAATAAAACTTGCTTTTCAGAGTTCTTAAACAGATGTTTTTAAATTAGAGATAGTTTAAGCTTCACTGAGACTATTATAGTCTCATAAAGATCTACTTGGGAAAATCGAAACAAATCTGCAACTCAAGCAGAAAGTTTATGGCGCAGGAATTCTTGGAATAGTTGCTCAGGGTAAAAATTCACAAGTGCATCTCAACATCAAGCTTATATAATCTATTTATATTAAAATTCTATGTAATTTTATGTTCTTGTTGATAGAAACATTTTGGATGTTCTAGATTTGTATTCTACCTACACATTCTACTTAATATGTTTTAAGCTTAAGAAAAGGATTAGAGTCAGAATGGCATTGCCAATTTGAAGACTAATTCCAGGAAAATAAAAATACTTGAGTTACCATTTAAGATACTAATATAAGTTGTATCAATGGAGTTTATAATACTGAGTTTAGTATAGAACTGAACATAGAACTGTGTCTTTTCAATGTTGAGAAAATTCATGTAGCTTAGAGTCTATAAAGACCATATTGATAGTTCCAGCAAATGCTCCTTCATATTCTATTACTACTATTTGTAATATTTTGTTTCTAAATGTTCTTTATTCTTTTTGTTTGGATTTTGGCCACACCTAGCTCAGAGCTTATCCAAGTTCTGTGCTCAGGGGTTACCGCTGGCAGTGCACAGAGTACCCAATGCCGTGCCAGGAATTAAACCCAGATCATGTGCGTGTAAGTCAAGTGCCTTACCTGCTATACTATCTCTTTGCCCTTGAAAAAATATTTTAGATAAGATGGTGGTTCTATCAAAGAAAGCAATGCTCTCTCTGTTTTTCCCCAGTTTTTAAAAGTGAGGGTTGCTGACAACAAACATGAATTTTCAATAAGTCTAGTGATATACTGAGTTACTTCTGATGGATATCTCTATGATGAAGTCATCTCTTCCAATCCCTGCATTATGTTTTCATAGAACATTAATTAAGGTCAAGCCAAATTTGGGTGATAGTACACTGACTGGAAAAATAAAATAAAAAAATACATTTGGTTCAGAGTCACTCTTATTCGTAACTAGTAGAAAACTCAAGATGAAAGAAATACCTTTGCTTGGCCATAGCCCTTGCTTATAGAGACTATAATTTTCACACTGCGGCCATCTTTATGTCCAGCTGCATCTCCAGCATCATCTAGTAGAATATCTGCCAAATGTTCAAAGATACACACATACGAACATATACACAAGAGAGTCATATTAGCTCAGATTTGATTTTTGTCAGGATTTTCTTCCTCATAGCTTTGTATCTTTCAATGGAAACATTTAGCCTTTCTGCTTCTCAATCTAGCCTATCTGGTTTGAAAACCCTCAGCTCTCAAGAAGATGAATTGTGGTTGGTTAAAGTTTCAATCTAAAAATGTATTTTTGCTTCCAAAGATCTTTGCCCAAGTGTAGGGTCATTTCCTTTAGATGAGGAAATAAGGATTTCTTTTTTCTATTATGCACCAGTCTGAGTAATACCTGAGTAATATTCAGTTACCATTATAGCCATGACAAACTGGAAAGCAATCTGATTTTTCTATCCAATCTAAAATATTCAAGCTCAATACCCATGTAATTTATGAATGCAAGGTGCTGAGATTAACTGTCAGATGAAGTTATTTTCAAGCATTTGGCACATATTCAATTATAATAATGCTCACCACACAAACACACACTTATAAAATTATTAGGCAGTACTATTGAATTTCAACCATGGCATTGTATTTCCCTAGAGAAACATATTAATTATTGCTCTCCAGTACTCATTACACTTATTATTTCAAAATAAAAATAGTAATTCTACTACTTAGCTAAGCATTACCAAAGCATGATAAAGCTAGTTAACCTTTAAAGCATAAGGTTTTACATGTGAATAAAAAATAATTTTTGAAGTCTAACATAAGAGGCTAATGTTCAGTTTGTAGAATTATTAAGGCAAACTATCCCAATCATACATTTTTGGGGGGAGATTATGCTATTATAGAGTCATGTTTACTAGAAAGATAGTGTTTTTGGACAAAAGAAACTATTATGTAAGTAATAGCCATATGTATGGTGGCAGGCTCAACTATTCTCCCTGAATTTCCAGGCACATTATCAACAAAATCTCTTAATGAAATAGAATGGTTTCCATTTTTCAATAATTAAGATATGTAATTTTTCACAGACAGGAGTCAAAAAAGACTAGACCATAACACTAAAAACCAACTTCTAGATAATTTGCTAGAAATTTCTTTTAAATAATCAAAGATAATTTTCTATTATCATGGTCCTCAGTCAACACTTTGAAAGAAAGTGTTTAAAGGTCTTTTTTTTTAAACTAAAAAATAAAATTATGACAAAAACTTAAAAGATTTTTAAACTTATGCCCCTACTGGATATTTCAATGTATTTCAGAGTTTGGGCGCAGTGTTCTTTTGGTCAGAGAAATAGCACTGTGGGCTGGAGTGCCTGCTTTGCATAGAGTAGGCCTGGCCTCAAGACTGGGATTAAGGCCTGTGTTTTATTCCTTGTACAGTATAGTTCTCTGAGCTTCTTCAAGAATTGCCCCTAAAAACAACTGCTTATGACCCACAAACAAATATACTATTTTAATTTAAAAGGTTAGTCATGAAGTATTATATTTCTCTATTCAACAAGTTCAAATATAAGAGTACTTTCGATGTCCATTAAAAAAATGCAGTAACATCACATTATAACATTGCATAAGTTCAGATGCATATCATTAAGAACTGACATATAGCACTGTACTGTAGCACTGTCCTCCCATTGTTCATTGATTTGCTTGAGCAGACCCAGCAACATCTCCATCGTGAGACTTGTTGTTACTGTGTTTGGCATATTGAATACATCATGGGTAGCTTGCCAGGCTTTGCCGTGCGGGCAAAATACTCTCAGTAGCTAGTTGGACTCTCCGAGATGGGTGGAGAAATCGAACCTGGCTCAGCCAGCCGGCTGCGCACAAGGCAAACGCCCTAGCACTGTGCTAGTTTACTACTAAAAGCTCATTTCTATTCTTCACCATTTAATTTTCCTTGTAATTTGGATTTACCTTTTATCATTTCTTTCTCTTAGTCACTAACAGGTTCAGGAGTTTAATTTTGCTTTATTTAAATAAAATAATTTCAAATTTTGGACACACTAAACCAGAGCAAATACAATAAAAGTTGCGCCCTGACCATGTGATTTAATTGTTTCTTAGTTTACACATAAGTGCCAGTATTCAAAAGAAATGAGAATCTAGGATTAAACACAGAACTAAAAATAAATTATAAAATGGGTAATTAATCATATGAAAGATATTTAAAATAAAAAAAAATTGCTCACCCCCCCAATTCTCTATCATGGCCATCTGTAAATTCAGGCTGCTAAATAAAGAAAATTCTACATTTCATCTTTTATTTTATGTGTTTAGTTTTTCCTAGGCATAAAATTTACCTTAAAACATGACAGTTCTTTCTAAACTATCTTCAGAACTGAGCTTGCCTCCTTTATGCCTTATCATATTTCCACAGGCTAAAACAAAATCAGGTAACAGTGGAATCTTGTCAATAAAACCATCCTTAGTAGTCAAGTCCCCAGGACACAGACAGGAACTGACTAAAACTAGGTAGGGATTCTATTTCATTTCTCTCAGGGTCATCCCTGGCAACCTAGCACATAAGACATGCGGCTCAGGGCCCACAGTTTCTAAGCATTGAAAATGTTTTTTTTTTTTTCATTCTTGTTTGGTCTCTTTTGAAACAGGAGGATGATGACATCGTACATAAAATTTATAATTTCAAATAACTATCCAGTTTCCTGTCTTATTCAGACAACTCTGTTTTATTCATGGCTACTGGTAACATTTTACTTGATGCTTATTCTAAGAATTTATTTCCTTCCCCTAATCTGACAAATTCTATATGTATATTTTTCTGAATTTCAGAAAATCCCTACTTGTCTTTTTTAAGAAGGCAAGCATATATTTTGGGCATTTAAGTTTACATTATGAATGTCAGATAAAATAGAAAAATATGACTTTTGGAAGAGATAAGATAAACTGAAGATTTCATCAACATAAGCTTGCTTTGTAAGCCTCTAGATTTTTCCCCTTAATCTTCTATATTTTAGTGTAATTTAAGGCAATCAGTGAAGTTTCTCTGTTCTAGCTAGAATGCAAAATGAAGTTACCCAGTAACACAGATATGATGGGTTCAAGCGTCATCTGGTGGCTGGATTCTGTAATTACCACAGGACCTCACGTAAACCTCTCCTAAATTAAATCTCTATACATAAACTGATTCAATGCCATGGGAACACTCATAGTTTATAACTGAGGAGTTCACCAGATAGACAACATCATGCCACATGACTCTTTTTGCAGTTCAACTAAATCTGTACCCTTGTCGCCTCATTATCAACTACTAACATAATAACCGAATCTAGTTTATGCTTTTTGGTTAGAAATTTAGCTGCAGACTGGGTGATGTGGTAGTATTATATTATTTCTAGGCAATGTAATACAGACTCATCTAATAAAATTGAGGAATAGGTATTTCATACTTAAAATAGCTGTTGAGCATTTAAAAACACTATAGAATAGCCCAAGGTTGTTAATAATATAGGCATTGTACAAATAATCATTGAAAAAATATATATGTATTTGCTTTTTGGGTCACACCTGAGAATGCACAGGGGTTACTCCTGGCTCTGCACTCAGGAGTTACTCCTGGCGGTGCTCACGGGACCATATGAGATGCTGGGAATCGAATCTGGGTTGGCCGCGTGCAAGGCAAACGCTCTACCCGCTGTGCTAATGCTCCAGCCCTGAAAATATTTTTTTCACCTTGTATAGAAGAGTAAAGAAAATATTTCTCAAGCCTAAGTAATTAAAATATTTTTGAGCTTGTAAGGAGATAGTCTTTTCAATTTAAAGTAGAATAAATTTATAAAGAAAACAAGACTAATTCTGCAACTTAGTGCTAAAAATATTGTTAAAGTGGTACACATCAGCATCAAACTGAGTGCAGCTCTCCAAATGTTAGGTATTCCCTTCCTCTCTCTGCCTTTTTATGCCTTAAGAATGCTTCAATTAAGACAGAAACAAATTACCTGAGGTAACAGACTCTGTGATGTTCAAGTTGTTTAGAGACAGCCCTAATGACTGGCGTGAAGATGAGGAGGATGTGCTGCTTGAGGATTCAGATGGAGGGCGAGCCGGCTTAGCTGTGTTCCCAGTTTCTGCCTTCAGCCGATCGTTTTCAGCTTTCAGTATTTCAATCTCATTCTGTGGGGAAGATGAAAAAACATGAAAATATTGAGCTAGCTGGGTTGAGAAAACATATCAACCCCGTTATCAGGGCTCATTAGTTTGTTAAATAAAGCACAGGGTGATATGTTAAACAAATTCTGGCACTGAGATTTCTTCGCAAAGAAGGAAAATTATTTCTTCCTTACATACAGATATTCACAGAGCACTATTAGAATTTTTGTGTAAGTCTTTATAGCATATCTGACAAACTTGGGCTTTCTAGAACTTAGTCTCATTTGAATAAAGAATCATATAATTGAAGAGTTCATAACATTGTTCATGTTGATGGTAGTGTTAAAATCTCATATCCAATAATGTTATTTGTAATGCTTAGAATTCATGGAGCACTGAGAGACAGAAAAAAATTTAAAAATATAAATAAGGTAATTAAAAATTAGTTTATAATCTTATCAACATCTTAAAAAATTGTTCTTTCAAAATGGGGAACCACACATAGATAAACAACAAAAGTCTTTTGATGGATATATATATATATATATACATGTATATATATATATATATATATATATATAGTGTCAGATAAATCTGCTCAGCAGTAAGGTTTTCTTATTCCAGTTATCTGTGGCATCACTAATCACTTATTACTGGTTTACAAGAAAAAAGTGAAAATTTAGTTTAAGCAGAGGCTTCTGATTTTAGTCTTCAAATGTCTCCTTAACCCCCCAACAAAATAGAGAAGCTGACTTCTGCAGATGGCATTTTGCATCATGTTTATTTTCATATTTAGAAAGCTGTGTGAACTTTCTGTAGTATCCTCATTACTTTTGTCCTTTAAGAAAAAATAGATAAAAAGCCATTGGAAAGTCAGATTTCAAAGAACAGGGGCAAAAAACAACAACATACAGTTTAATTATGAAAAAGTGAAAACGCCAGAAGAAAAAATATAAACATAAAGCTCATTTATGAACAAGTGCAAAAGCAAGGGCTGTAATTTCTCAACGGAATTCAGTTAGGAGTCCAAGTGTCTTCAAAGGCCCTTGAGTACACTTGGGCAGTGTGTAGTCCCATATGCAACCTGGATTTGGCAAATCTCCATTGGTTCTAAGAAAGAAGCTGCAAAGATTGAATAAGGAGGAAACATTTTGCCCATGGATTTGAAGTTGAGATTTGTTTTCTCAACACCCAAGAAAGAAAATAAGGAGCATTTTCAATCTCTTTTGTTTGTTCTTGAAGATACTGACCTGCATCCGGTTCATTGCTTCCCGGATCTGGTCAAGATGATGAGCAGAGCTGAGAGCCTCCAGACGAATATCTGTTAATTTTAATTCCTTTTCTCTGAGCTCGCTCTTCAACTGTAGAATTATTTCTGCCTCAGCCTCTGTGCATTCACATATCCTGAAGAAGGAAACATACAAAAATCAGAGATCTAGGGAAGCCAGAGGATTAGAAGAAGCGATTAGAAGAAGCAATACTTCTTCTAAAGGTTGAACTGCAATAATTTCCAGCAGGCAGAACACTCATTTGCTGCTAATAAAACCTGGCAAAAAAGAGAAAGAGTTTTACAAATAGTAATACATTCACAGGTTCAAAACTGATCACTGTGGTTGTGTATCTTAATCTTTTCTTCCTATATTCTGAAGTTCTAAAAGTCTATTATGACTGAATATAAATGAATGCTCAATATTCCCTTGTTGCTGATATTTATGGCAATCAAGAGCCATATCTCATCTTCCTATTTTCAAGGCACTTACATCTCTATTTGTAACATATGAAATTGTCTTTTTCAAGCTAAGTCATTATGTCCTTAAAATACTGGTTTCCTCTGAAGAATAACCTTATTTACCATTATGCCATCCTTCACATTATCACAAAAGTCCGATATAAATATTTTAGAAAATAAATCAGAAAGATTAACTTTGTACATTTAAATAATGGATGAGAGTTCTATAATCCTCTCGGGAGGCTCGGCTGATTTAGGGATCATAGCTAATGAAGCTAAGCCACAGGTTTCAGTCTACACAAACAGGCTAATCAGTTGCTGTCTGAAGGTCATAGACATATCTGTTTGGCTGGTTTTGTTTTGTCTTATTTTGTGAATGTCAAAAAATTTGTCTTTATATTAACTAATTAATCTTTCACTTTAATTTGTGAACACTGTCACAAAATGACAGTATTTCTCTGGATTCTTCCTGAGATGTGATAAAATTATTTAAGATATTCAAGTTTCTTTCAATAAGTCTGTGAGTAGCTTGGTCTAATATGAGAGGTCAGTGCTAGACATGTTCTAGAAATGTAGCTTTGGCAGTTTAGAAGGCAAAGAATCATCAGCACACATATTTCTAGATTCTAAATGTCAGGTTCTTTCTAGTAAAAGTCAAATAGAGGGCTACTTTAAAAAAATCTCCATAAGATTAATAATATTAGAGAAGAAAGGGATCATAGTTTGGGTTATAGAAAACCCAGTTTGACTTAAAACCGGAAAGACAGAGGAGAGATTTTCTTTTATTACAACACATGCGAGTGATTTTAGAAAAGCAAAAGTAAGCACTGCTTAGGTTAGAAGCTAGATTTCTGCAGTTCTCATGCATCACACTCATTTTACCGGGATCTATGCTTGTAGATCACAGGGCCATTTTGTCGTTTCTTTGGTGGCCAGACAAGGGGTGACCTGCATTTAACGCACAGTTAGACACATACATGGACAAAAGCAAGTGGAAAGGAATGAGAACATTTGAGTTTGAAAAAGTGGAGAGTAACATCGGAAAAAACACTCCAATTCTAATACTACTGAAAAATGAAAGAGAAACAAATGCTGCCTGCCTTTTAAAGGAGATTTTTAAATGATGAGTACAGAGGAAGTACTGCAGTGGTGAAAATAATAATCCGATTACACTGAGAACACAGTGTGTCCTGAGTCACAAATGTGACCTGAAGTTGATTTTGGAAGTGAGTTCTGTGTTCAGCAGAGGAAGTGACTTACGCTGAGGCTGATTGTGAGGGTTTCATGGATGTGGACCCACAATCACCACTATTATGGGGCAACTTCGGAGAGGCTGGAAGGGATGAATCAGTAAGCTCCTCGATGTCCGAATGGGAGGAAGGAGGCTTCGTGGATTTTTTCTTCCCAAAGGCTTGCTTGAATGAACTTCTCAGCTGAAAGAAGAACAGAAATTACCTCTCTAGTCTATTTGATCTTGGGGAGATCGGCTTTGGGGAGTTAGTTTGCAGGTGCCGTCCTAGCCACTGCCTGCGGTCAGTATGTATAAGCAAGAGAATATTAACAGCTGCAGCACGCAGTAGGTCTTAAAATATGATACCATATTTTGTGTTTTTGTTTTATTCTTGTATTAATCCAGCGCAGCGCAGACATGGAAGGCTTTGAAATAGTGCGGGGGTCAAGGGCATGGCTATCAGAGCACTCATTTAAAACTAAGTACCTTGAAGGGAATCTCCATTCCCAAGGCGTCACTCTTCAAGGCAATTTGTTTTAAATGGCCACTTTAGTGCTACAATCAAGTCATTTCCTGCTGACAGTATAAACTTAAAAAGTAAAATGAAATCAAATTCACCTAACATTTCATTAATTGTGATTTTCTATTCAAATTTTTCAATTCCCAGACTATTCAAAAGCAGAATTGGCATCCCTACAGCTCTATGCAAAAAAAAAAAAAATGGTTTTACTCCTTTTTAAAGTTTGAGAATAAAATGAAAAGACACAAAGAAAAGACATACAAAGTAATCTGTTTTTAAAAGGTATAAAAGCCTTCTGCCAAATGAATAGCATTCATGCCAAGGTAGGGTATTTTTTATAGGTGCATGCCAAATTGTCCACGGGTTATATTCACCTCACTTCCTCTAGAGTTCACCTTGCAGAAACATGAAAGAGTGTGGAATTACAAATCAAGGGAATCAAAGCTGATCAGTATTTTAAAATATTACCTGTATAAACATTTTTAAAACAAAAATGTATTTATTCAATTATTTATAGAAGGCATTCCAATAAACCTGATAGTTATGTCTTGATTCTACCAAGAGTTATACTTATTTAAAAATCTACCTTTGTTTCAAGATACTAAAAGAAATCTTTAACTTTCTTATTTTTAAACATTTTGAACTGATAGATTTTTCCCTTTAGGGTTTTATTTTTATTATTATTATTTTTTGCAATGGCTTACTGTTATCATTAATCTTATCTTTAGCAAACCAAAGGCACTGTTCTGCTAATGTAATTTTCTGTATTTCTGCTATAGTCTCTTGGTAGGAAAAATAGCAGACATTAATGCTGTCTGTCAAATGAACACTGTTTAAGTTCTGCCTTTGCTGTTGTTATTTTTAAGGGGAGGGCTCCCCAGGAGTGCTCAGGAAGTCTGGAGGTCATTTCCAGAGAAATCTGGGGGCTGGTGAACCAGTGTAGGGCCTGAGGATATAGTGATGCTCAGGCCCTGAGATTCTTGGGATCACCAAGGACACGCTGGCAATGCTTAGGTATTCAGGGCCACTGAAGCAGAGCTCCGGAAGTCAGGATTGAAATAGGTCGGGCCCATGCGCTCCCAAACTGTAACCCCTGTACTATGCCCCCAGCCCATATGAGAAGTAGGGAGATTTCAAGGTTTCTACTTTACCTTTTACCAACTTTATTTCTATTCCTGTCCCCTCCTCACTACCAACACCATCACGACTTCTCTTTATCTTCCTCATCTCAAAAATCCTTTACCCTAAGCTACTTATTTAGAGATGTGATTTATTTTTATACAATTATAATTGTATAAAAGCAGTACTAATTATTCACAGATAAGAAAATTTAGGTCTCTGAAAAGTTAAAATAACCTGTCCAAAATCTAGAATTGCTATTTAAATTCAAGTTTCAGTTCATCTGCAAAACATTTTCAGTACAGTACCAGGCTACCCCAAATCTTGGCAGTAACAAGAGCATTTGGGATGCCAGACACCAGAATGGGACTCTGTAGACCACCACATATCTCTAAAGCCACACAGGAAAAGCCTGACTCATAGTGCCATCATAACTTTCTGAACTGGATCAATGATGGTGGCTTACCCAGTTTTTCTTTTTCTTTTTCTTGGAATCAGCGTCATTGCCACTGCCAATGCTGGAATGGCTTGTGGCGCTGTTGATACTAGAAACACTTTCCGAGGAATGCTGTCTTCTGATCCGGAGATCTAGCAACAAATAGGCACTATCACCTTTGCTCATAAAGACATTTGACATGAATAAACAAAATCTCTAGACTTTCGATGAGAACGTTATCTAACACACATCAACATGGCTTTGTGCAAATCATTTTAATACAGGTTTGACTTTATAAGCTTAATAAAGTACCATCGTATTTGCTTTAATTAACTGAGTTATCTGCATTATGATTCGGAATAATCTCTCTTCTAACACGAGGGGTTTAATGAATTGAGTACTGTCCAAAAATGAAATGTTATACTAAATGATTCTACTGAATACATGGATCAAATAGTGCTTCCAAAATGATTTATTTCCAATGACTACTTCCATGGAGTAAATGAAAACTCAGAATAGCATGAGAATTAATTGTGTCTTTTTAATATCTGTGCTCAGAATAAAGTTGCCAAAACCAAACATATTAACTTTCTATTTCTGAGAGTCATAGCCTGTTAGAGCCAAAACAAACCTTGGAAGTCATCTGAGTTCTTTATCCCGCAGATGAGGAAATTCAAATGCAAAGAAGTTTAGTAAGTGGCCAAGGTCAAATAAAGATGAGAGAGAAAGTCTCAAAGAATCAGAGCAGATGGAGCTTATGAATTAGGCACAGAACATATTTCAAACAATGCTGCTTTATCATCACACTCCTGCCCCCTGTGCATGACTTGGAATAGTAATAACAGTAACAATAATAACTGTAGGTAAAAATAAGTATGTACTTACTCTATACAAAGTATATTTAATCTTACACTTAAAACAAGATGCCGAAATAAGTTTAACTACTAAATGCAATTTTCCCAGTCAGATAGCTGATGGAATCAACTTGAGACCTACAATGATTATATTGTCTATTGTGCCAATTGCTATGAAATATGGTCTCTCTGTACTTCTAACAAGCATGCTGTGTTTCTCAAATAACAGAAAATATGTTGAAATAAAAGCTTTTGAAACTTAACAACTTTTTCAAGATATTCACTCTGCCTTAAAGTCAGTTTAATTTATTTACTTACTAAAATTTAAGTCAACTTTTTCTTTTTAGATTATTCTGATATTATTAGTGGAGACACTAAGAATTAATACAATTATTTGTAAGAATATACCTACTTTTAGGTCACACTTATTTCTATATTTAACTATTGCAAATTAGCCAAATAAAAATGCTCAATGAAACTTATGTCTAAAGTTAACATACACAGCTTTTTAAAAGTTTTCATAGAAACAAGAGTATAAAATCAAAGTTTTCTAGTTAAATAATTTATTTACCAGCAAAATTATCAATGGCAATGAAACTGTAACTTGTTACTTTCAAAAATACAGATGAATATGTGCTATAGGAATAAAATATATGTATACATAACTTTATTTATATATATAGCAATAAATATTTTCCCATTAAGAAAACAGCAATACTGAAATATTTTATAGGTGTGTAATACAGAAATATTGTTCCTTAGAATTTAATCTTTACTGTAGCACTGTGGCACTGCCCTCCCATTGTTCTTCTATATGATCGAGCAGGCACCAGTAATGTCTTCATCGTGAGACTTGTTACTGTTTTTGGCATATCGAATACAGCAAAGGGAGCTTGTCAGGCTCTGCTGTGCGGGCGGGATACTCTCAGTAGCTTTTAGGGCTCTCTGAGAGGGATGGAGGAATCAAACCCAGGTTGACCACGTGCAAGGCAAACGCCCTACCTGCTATGCTATCACTCCAGTCCATGTGTATACTATATGTATGTATATATATAACATATAACATTTCACTTAATTAAAAACTCTTGAGGACTGGAGTGATAGCACAGCGGGTAGGGCATTTGCCTTGCATGTGTCCAACCCAGGTTCGATTTCCAGCATCTCCTATGGTCCCCTGAGCACCGCCAGGAGTAATTCCTGAGTGCATGAGCCAGGAGTAACCCCTGTGCATTGCTGGGTGTGACCCAAAAAGCTTTGCAGAGCTATGATGATTTTTAAGCTACTCCCTATTCTCTGCTTCAGGTGTTTCTATTTCAAGGTATAACTGACAGTTACTCTGCATCTTGTCAGAAACTTAAATGAGTAAAGGAAGAAAATGAGTGTTGATAAATGCTGCAGCAAGATTTTCATGAGGAGGAGGGCTGGTTGGGAGCCATGCCCTGTGGTACTCAGATTTTACTCCTAAGTTTGCACTTGATACTTCTGGCAGGGCTCAGGGGATCATATAGGGTGCCAGAGATTAAACCCAGGTCAGCCCCCAGCAAGAAAAGTGCCCTACTACTGCACTATTGCTCTGGCCCCTGCAGCAACAGTTTTAAAGTCAGGGTCTCTGCCTGGCAGTGTTAGGGCTTCCATAAACATTGAGTGTGTGCTAGTTAGCCTCTAACCGGTAATCTTTATAAACTCTTAAAATTCATGATAAGAATGTTTACTGTCTTTGCATCCCAGAAATATTGCCAGTGCCAAAACTTCAATCAACAATACTGATGGTGCTAACATGCACTAATTTGTATACTGTTCAACAGTACTGATATATACTACTTTGATTTAATGATAAAGGAGGAAGTGTAACATTTAACTTTAAACATTATATGAATTATGCTTTATATGAATTATAATTTAAACATATGAATAAATAATATAAAAATTATTAGTGGGTTTGGGGGGTAATGTGAGTTTCAAAGTTGTTCTTGCTCAGGGGGCATTCCTGGAATAGCCAACCAAGTCAGTGATTCAATGTGACAGCCCAAGAATTCAAGAATGGGGTATTCCTCTGGGCCTTTGGTGACAAAAATTATCCAGGCCAACTTGGCAGTGTTTCCAGGCCACACCTGTTGGTGTTCAGGAAAATCCAGGGCTACACCCAGTGTTAGTCAGGGTACCATGTGGTACCAAGGGTCAAACCCAGTGCAGGCAAGGCATGTGCCTTAACCCCTGTGTTATCTCTTGAGCACTATTTGTTTTAAACTTCTGTAGGCTATAAACTTCCTGAGCAAGATGCACTATTTAGTTTCCCCTAATAGTTCGCTTTAATGAATTGAGTAACCATTTAATTGTTAAAGTTTTTGAGAATTTTCATTATATCCAAAAAAAAAAAAGGTAAAGGCCCTCCTGTTGATCGTCGATTTGCTCGAGCGGGCCCAGTAACTTCTCCATTGGAGACTTTGTTGTTACTGTGTCTGGCATACCGAATACTCTCGGTAGCTTGCCGGGCTCTCCGAGAGGGGCGGAGGAATCGAACTCGGGCCGGCCATGTTGGCCGCTTGTAAGGCAAATGCCCTACCCGCTGTGCTATCGCTCCAGCCAAAATTAATGTTATATTTGGCTTGTATGCAAATTTTAAGAGGATAGGTTTTTTTATAATCATATTTGAAAAGGAGTCCTTAGAGGCATTAATTTCCTTCAATTATGACTATATTTACTAATAAAGGTTAGTAAGGCTTCATTTAAATAATATGACTCTGTGGAGGGAATGCACAATTCCTTTCTAGTGCCTATAAGTATTTGATTAGGTACAAGGGAAATTAAAGAGCTAAGTAAATACTGGCCGAACAAATGTACGCCAGCGATGTAAATGAATGGAGAGGCTTAATTTAAAAGTGTGTATTCCAGTTTTGTATTTGTTCATAATCATTTCCCAATTCCAACTCTGTACTGCCACTGTCCCAGTTCAAGTTATGATCACCACTTACCTGCTGAGCAGCAAGAACAGCTGCCTAATCACTAACCTCCAAAACATTCTACAAATAGTATGAGAGAAATAAAAAGGAAAACTTCAGGAACATGGATATTTTTCAAAGGGCTGGACTGGGAATGTTTCCTGAGCATGAAGCCAGGAATAGCCCCTGAAATCCATAAGGAAAAAAGAGAGAGAGAGAGAGAAAAGAAAGAGAGCGAGAGAGAGAAAAAGAAGAAAGACTTCATTTTCATTCCTCTACCAATACAATTCAACATGTTTTCATTTTAAAAAGTAAAAAGATATTCAACTCTTAAAATAAGGTCAAAAAACTCTCAGAAAATCTTGTATTTTTTCTCCAATCCTGCTTTACTTAATTTTTGTTAGCCATTATTTTCCTTTCATCAATTCCACAGAGGTATCAACAGATTTTCTTTCAAAAGTACTTTTTAGACTTGTCCTCACAGTATTTATGATATAACTTGGTAATGTTTCCTTGGACCTCTTAAATGTTGCTATTTTTGTTTGTTTGCTAGTAATCTTGCTCTCAATAGCATCTATTGGTGTTCATTTTAGGATTCTAGTATTTTGATAGGTATATTTGACTATAGCAATGATCGCAATAACCATTTTCTTTCTACCCTTTCTCCTATGGGGTGAAATATTTTATGGAGACAAAGACTATACCCACTAAATCCCCAGGGCCTTGTATAGAGTACAGCATTTATTAATAAGCATTTTCTGAATAGGTTTATCCTTAGCTCTAACAGCCATGTTGTCTAATATTTCTAAAAAATATTTACTACAGATGGTAATTTAATCCATGATGATATAATTGTAGTAGGTACATATAAAGGATAAACCTATACCATGATTATGCACAGAAAGATACTTAAAATTAATAGCAAAATTTGAAAATAAAAATTTCCTTTACCTTTAAATATCATGATAAATACTATGTAGTTAAATACATCTGCATATACACATATGTATAATGAATACATTTCATTACAGTGAAATTTAGGCTACATTATTGAGTACAGAGATGGAAGATAATTAGGTCAACTAATCTTTCCATGTCATGCTAATAAATAATAAAAAAATCAACTTAAGTTTATTGAATGTAATATTGAGTTTTAGTATTATAAAATGTGCTCTAAATATCCTACATATATTCAATACTTACATCTGTTTGACTAATTTTTCATCTTGGAAAATTATTTTTTTAATTTATTGACCTATTTGAAATTCACTGTTATAATTTTGTTCATTAGGCACTCCCACATCATTTCTGAGCAAAGGAAATTCTATTTTCTAATACCATTAGATATATTAAGCTACCTGTTGCCTAAGATAAAAGAAATTCTTTCCAGAAAGTTTTACTTTAGTTACATACTGTGTTAAAGAAGAATTAAGTCTTTTAAAATCCCTTCTGGATCTATTTACAACATGAAGATTTAGAACATAAGCTGCTTTATTATAGCTCTAAGATAAGCTTTAAATATGCAGTAATTTTCCATGCAGCATATAAATCAACTCCCCCTCATGGAAAGTTGCTAAATTCTTAAAAGAAACAGCCCCTAGAGAAATAGTTTGTCCTTCAATTTAAGCACATCTCACTTTATGTAATTTTTCTCCTAAGTTTTAAATTTAAGTATTTGAGAAAAGTGTTATTCTTGTCTATAAAATTCAAATAAGCCCCATTTTATGTATAATGAATAATCATGGACACTATGATTTAAAAAACAAAGCAAAAGCAGACCTAAAATGAAGTATAGCACCAACTATAATGCAGAATTTGCCAATGAAGTACAGTTATTCACAGAAATATATCACAAAGGGACATCATCTACTTTAAGGGTCAAGAAGGTATATTTAGGCTGACTCCTGAAAGCTCTATAAAGGGTTATATGCTGAAAAAAATAGAATACACTGTTAAGACAGAATACACAGGCCATATAAAGAACATCTGAATAGTTAGATAAATTTCAGGGAATCTGAAATAAATAATGTGACAGAAAAGGAGGATGAGATGTTGAGAATGATGTCTGGCATGTACAAGATAATCAATCAAGTTTGGGTTTTTGTTTGTTTGGTTGGTTGGATTTTTTTAGAGAATGAATCTGGGAAAGGGATGTACTGTCACTTTACAGAGATTGTATTCCAAGGCAAATCTGACTCGTATACAGAACTGCTGCTAGACATTGTTCTTAACTTTACATGAGAAAAACTGGCAAGTGGAATAAGATGAAGAGGAAGGAGTTTCAAGGGGGATATGAAAGGTGGTGATGGTAGGATAAGAAAAATAATAAATGCTTTAAGCCGTGGAGCCAATAGGGCTTGGTGCTTTAGTGATTGAATATAGGAGTTATACATTCCATAAACTTCTGGTTACTTGGCAGAATATTGGTATCACTTACTGAGGCAAAAAAATGCTGAAGTGGAAAAAGCAGGTCTCAGATGACCAGGTTAAATTTTTAGATTAATGTTTAAGGTAACAAGATAGTATTCAAGTATATTCAAAGAAAATCCTTTCTTGGATAGTTTGACATTTTACTGTATTAATTGTTTCATTTCATACAGAAATATAGGTTTTCATCCCTCTACTGTTGTTTTCGATAAAGCCAAATATGAAATCACTAACTAATGTCTTTATCTTCATTTTAACCAAATCAAATGGAGCAAAGAGTGTATGCAAGATGAAATCCTGCAGTTTGCTAGAACTGGGTTGGAACTGAAGGACAAGATTATTAAGCAAACAGAGGGAGAAAGATAAACACTGGACAAATTTCACTGAACTGTGATGTGTAGAGAAACAAAACAAAGGAACAAACAGTATTACATAATGATAAACTTTTCAGCTTTGGTTACAAAACTGAGATTACCAAGCAAGCGGGAGGGAGAATGGTGAGGAAAAGATTAGAAGTGCCTTAAAGACAGTAGTGGAGAATCTTGGGCACTTTGGTGGTGGGTTGCATTACCATTGTATATCAAAACCATAAACATTAACATCATAACTATGTTTCCTAAACTATCATGCTAGATAAAAATATTACTTATTTAATGCATGTGCAACTAAAGAAGTACATTCATTTAAAACAGCATGGTACTGGAACAAAGGCAGAACTGTAGACCAATGGAACAGAGTTGAATATACTGACATCTCCTCCCAAGCATATGATCATTTAATCTTCAATAAGGGAGCAAGAAAAGTGCAGAGGAGCAGGGAAAGCCTCTTTAATAAATTGTGCTGGCAAAACTGGACGGCTACATGCAAAAAAGTGGGCTCAGATCTCTACCTAACGCCATACACAAAAGTAAGATCAAAATGGATTAATGACCTCAACATCAGACCGGAATCCATAAAGTTCATTGAAGACAAAGTTGGCAAAACCCCACATAATATTGAAGCTAATGGTATCTTCAAAGATGTCACGCCACTGGCCAAGCAAGTGAAAATAGAGAGATAAATGGGACTATCTTAAACTAAGAAGTTTCTGCAACTCAAAAGAAACAGTGACCAAAATACAAAGGCAGTCTACAGAATGGGAAAGGATATTCGCCAAATATACATCCAACAAGGGGTTGATATCAAGGATATACAAGGTACTGGTTGAACTCCACAAGAAGAAAACACCCAACCCCATCAAAAAATGGGGTGAAGAAATGAACAGAAACTTTCGCAAAGAAGAAATCCGAATGGCTAAAAGGCACATGAGAAAATGCTCTACATCACTAATCATCAGAAAGATTCAGATCAAAACAACAATGAGATATCATCTCACACCACAGAGACTGGCCCACATCCAAAAGAACAAAAGCAACCAGTGCTGGCGCGGATGTGGCGAGAAAGGGACCCTCCTTCACTACTGGTGGAAATGTCGACTGGTTCAGCACTCCTGGAAAACAGTATGGACAATCCTCAAAAAATTAGAATTTGATTTTCTATTTGACCCAGCAATACGATTTGTGGGAATATATCCCAGAGAGGCAAAAAAGTATAGTCGAAGTGACATCTGCAATTGTCTGTTTATTGCAGCACTCTTTACAATAGCCAGAATTTGGAAAAAACCTGAGTGCCCGAGAACAGATGACTGGTTAAAAAAAACTTTGGTACATTTACACAATGGAGTACTATGTGGCTGTTAGAAAAGATAAAGTCATGAAATTTACATACAAGTGGTACTTCATGGAAAGTATCATGTTAAGCGAAATGAGTCAGAAAGAGAGGGACAGACATAGAAAGATTGCATTCATCTGGGGAATATAAAGTAACAAAATGGGAGACTAACACCTAGGAGTAGCTGAGATTAGTACCAGGAATTTTGCTCCATGACTTGGAGGCCAGCTATATGTGCTAGGGGAAAAGGAAGCTCAGATAGAGAAGGGAGCACCGAAAAAGGGTGTTGGGAGGATTCTCCTAGGATGGGAGAAGCATGCTAAAAGTAGACTATAGACCAAACATGATTGCCACTCAATGCCTCTCTTGCAAACCATGGAACCCAAAAGGAGAGAGAGAGAACAAAAGGGAATGCCCTACCACAGAGGCAGGGTGGGATGGGGGGGGATGGGTGGTGGGAGGGATGCTGGGACCCATGGTGGTGGAGGATGGGCGCTGGTGGAGGGATGGGTACTTGATCATTGTATAACTGAAACCCAAGCACAAAAATTTGTAAGTCTATAACTGTACCTCATGGTGTTTCACTAATAAAAAAAATTAAAAAATAAATAAATAAAATAAAATTATCTGACAATGGATGTTACCATCCTTAAACTCTGATATTCTGACTGTGTTGACCCCAATTTAGTCATTGTTAAAGAAGATAATGTCAGTAAGGAAAAGCAGCTGTACTAATGAATAAAATATACCTTTCGGAGGGTGGTCTGGACCATTTAGCGCCCCTTGTATGGCTGCCTGAGCAGCGGAGTTCTGGGCCTTCAGCATTTCAATAGTTTCTCTTAGTTCTATAAGTTCAGATTCCTGTGGAGCAAACACAGTTTAGCAGCTTTAATATATCTAAAGAGAAAAAGAAAATGTCCTTGTTCATAATTCATTTGCAAGCGAGTGTCCTTTTTGTGGGACTAACCTCCTGGGTGATTTGGCTGTGTGGCTGACCTTGTCAAGTTGGATCAGACAACTTCTTGCATAGCTAAGTGAAAAAATATCCTTGCACATAAATTTTCTTATTTATTTTCTAATAAATGTGATTTAACTAGCTTATTTCTTTCAAACAGTGGCACCCAGAGATGACTGGAACAAATAAAAAATATCACAATGCTCATTTTAAATACAGAACAATAACATTACATAGATAAATACGTATGTACAAATTGATCAATAAATAGCATTCATATCACATTTACAGAATTTATGTCAAGTGAAGGACTTCAGATTTTATTTATATTTTATACTTGAGTTGATTTTTTTATATTCAAGCATAAAATCTTGCACTCCCTAAATCTCTTATATTAAATATAATTTTATTAAAACCCTGCTGGCATTAAAAAGTTAATCTTAGATTTGGAATTTTTCAATATTTAAAAATTTCTAGTGTGGAGACCCAATTTCACCAAGCCAAAGCAATATAAAAATGTTTAAAAGATAAGTGATGTGTGTAAATGGATTCTTAAATAATAGATGATGTTCAAAAATGAGGTAGTTAACAAATAAAACAATTTTATAAAACATCTATTGAATATCGATCAGTTAAAGATACATCTCCATTAAATAATTACATAAATTTTAACAATGTATGTGGGGGAGACAAGGTATGGAAAACCAAAATAGAAAGAAAAGAAATTTGTGACATTTAATGGCAATATTTGTATTTGAGGCCCAAAATCAAAGCATCTACTTCTTGACAGTTATGGCAAACAGAAAAATTAGAGTCTTATCAGTGTTTTCAATAGAGAATTCCTTAGTGGTGTATTTCCTCAGTAATGTCAGTCTTCATTGTCTCTGGACTTTTTTGACAGCAAGCCAAAGAATTGGATTTAGTTCCTCCATTCAAAGGATAGTTTAATATTTTTCAATCCCTCTCCTAATATATGGAAAACAATTCACTGAGAGCTGTCTTTGTTGGAAACAATCTCATACATGGGAATGTCCAGACACTATTCCACCCTTAGATCATTAAACAAACAAACAAAAAAAAATTATGCTACATAAAATGATAACTAAGGGTTAGGTTTAAATAAATTCCTGACACCACAATATCTATTATCACTGGATACCTGACATTATTAATAATGGGAATATTAAAAATATTCTAAATGTTAATAGCTAGTAAAAAATCAAAGAATCTCATCATAAAAAAAGTCAATAGCTATCTCCTGAATTAATAGATGTGCCTTCAAATTCTTGGCTTTAATTTTATTTGTCTCATTATCCAAAAGGAAAAGATTGTGTTTCAGAAAATATTTCAATGTCATGACAAAAATTGCTGATACATTTTGTCATGATTTCTCAGTCTAGGTTCTATCTACTTTCTGTCTCTTGTCCAGATAGAAGTTTACCAAAATTTAATGTACTTTCTATTTTGAAGAAAACTTGGGCCATAAATTGGACATACCAATAGAGTGTATGACTCACCTATGTGAGTTTGATTCTCGCAGCACACACATGCACACATGTGAATCAAACACACACACACACACACACACACACACACACACACACACAGAATCTCTCAAGAGATATAATACTGACTAGAATTCATTCTGTTTTTCAAAAAATGTAGTCCCAAAATGATGACTTATTGTGCATACTTAGGTCACTGGTCACTGTCCTCCCATTGTTCATTGATTTTCTCGAGCGGGCCCAGTAACGTCTCCATCATGAGACTTGTTGTTACTGTGTTTGGCATATCAAATACGCCACGGGTAGCTTGCCAGGCTTTGCCGTGCGGGCGAGGTACTCTCGGTAGCTTGCCAGGCTCTCCGAGAGGGGCAGAGGAATCGAACTGGGGTCAGCCATGTTGGCTGCGTACAAGGCAAACACCCTACCCGCTGTGCAAATGCCCTACCCACTGTGCTATCGCTCCAGCAATATTTGTGCATACTTAATGTGTAACAAAATGGAAATACAAATTGTATAACATATCTGCCGAGATATATTAAATTTTAATTTAAAAAGATATTTTATCTTTGAATTTGTAATCATTAGTGCTTATACTGTATATTAAAATTCTAGGAGCTGGGGATGTAGCTCAGAGGAAGACAGTCTCTCTCTTACGTGGAATGCATAAGACTCAACCACTGGCATATAAGCACACAAAGATATTCTGTTACAATATTTTATTTAAGTTTAAGTAGGAAAATGTAAATGGGATATCCTGCAAATGCTTGAAAATTTTTTTATTTTATGAGTTAATAGACATACCAGCATCAAAACTAGCATTACAAAGTGATTTCTGTATGCATTTAAAAATATGAGAAGTGAAATGTTCAATATTTTAAAAATATTACTTTTGTTTAATCTAAAAATATTAATCAATTTCGGGAAAGAAAGATGGCGGCCGCACGGGAGCCTTGTGGACAGCAGGTTTGAGCCGGGGGTGGGAGCGGCAGGGACCTCATGGGAAGGGGGGCGTAATGGGCCGTCCTTCACGCCCGACCGAGGTCGCCAGCTGCCCCCCACGAGCGGTTCTCCGGCACAGCCATGACTACAGAGAACAGAAACCAATCTCTTAACTATCTAACTTTTTAATAGAAATTCTTCCAGGGTTAATAAGTAAAATAGCAGAAACCCAAAACTGCGTGGCCGCAATAGCGGCCGCGCGACATCATTTTATTCTTAAACCAAGTTGTAGAAAGCAAATCATTTCACAACGCTGTTTCAGCATATCTGATTGGGGGGGGGGGGGGTCGTAAACTCTAAATAATAATTGTGCATCTTCTATCGAAACAATGTATCTAGTTGAAGTAGATAGAGTATTAACTAGAACTCATCTGCCTCACAGGAATTGGGAGGGGTCGGAGGTGGGGTTCTATTGGGGTTCGTGGTCAAAAATAAGTATTGGTAAAGGGAAATGTGTTTGATATTTACATGACTGAGACCTAAACCCGAAAGCTCTGTAACTTTTCCCACAGTGATTCAATAAAGAAATAAATTATAAAAAAAATAAATAAATAAATAAATAAAAATATTAATCAATTTCTAAAATTAAATATCTTCAATATTATAGCAGATGTTAGCAGGTTAGCTGTTGGTGACTGTGGCACAATAACCTCAATAGAAGACAATAAATAAGTGCATTAAACAATTTCAGAAAATGACCTTCATGAAAATCAAAATTATCAACATTCCCATTAGTTACTCTTTAGGAGAGCTTTGCAAATGTAAGCAAGAACCTACACAATATTTCATTGTCTTTACTTAAGAAAACTGTTAAATCTGATTTGATATAATCCTTCATAAAAATCAAACCTAAGCTAGTTATCACTCCATAAATGTAAAAATCCTTTCTTTCCTTTGATTTCAGTGAATTATATGCACTTTCATGTTGCTACTCATATCAGAACCATTTTTTTCTCTAAGGCTTGTCATATGGTTTTTCTTTTTGCTTTACTTTTTTCACCCTTAGAGAATGGAGTAAATGTTTCCAAACAAGTGGGATATCCTACTTTTCCTCTCAGAAAATAAAAATTAATGCATTCTCTGTTTTGAGAATATTTAATAAATTCAATTTAATTTGTTGTGAAATACATTATTATCTCACCTGGCTTAAAATCTCATAAAAGTTGGGTATTTTGATCAAAAGTTCTGGCTAATGCAGGTATTTTTTTCCCATTCAAAGAAAGATTTAAAATTCAACTATACTGCTAGCTTTTTTTTTTTAACAAAGAAGTATGTGATCATCTAGGGTGTCATTATAAAACTTTACTGATGTTATTTATCAGAAACACAGCATCAATATTCAGTACGGCTAATCAGTGTTATGGATAACCTTGGGTAGATGAGGTTAAAGCATGATACTTCTTTCATTTTTCCAGTAGTAATATATAAATGAATAGAAAGCTTCTTAAAATAAGAACTTTGCTGAGATACAGAAAATCTTTATTAATTTATAATATACAAAACAGTACTAACTATAGACACCATACGGTATATTATATTCTCCAGGACTTATATTTGAGCATGGAGAAGAGAAGACCATAAAAGTTCTCATTACAAGAAAATATTCTGCAAGTGCATGAAATGGATGCTAAGTAAGCTTATTATGGTAATTGTATTACAATACATACATGGGAAAATTCATTATGCTGTAAACCAAAACTAATACAAAGCTATATGTTACTTATATTTAGTAAAACTATTCACTTCTGCTCTTCATTCCCCTCCTTTAATAAGGTTGGTGATTTACATTATATTTTAAGCAGTACTTTTTTTTTAAAGTTGTCTATAATAAATAAAAATGGTACTGTTGTCTCTAAGTACAAGTATCCTTCTTGGGCTGTAAAGAGGAGGGATAAGACTGGAAACATACTTCAAGTATGAAATTATTTTATAACCGAAATATTTTCATGTAGTCCTTTTTATTTTGAAACCTAACAGATATAGAAGTTTTGGGAATCTCTATTAAGCCTCCAGAAAAATCAAACAAACTTGGAAATATCATAGTTATGAGATGGAAATTAAAATTCCATTCCTAAGTATCTGCATTTATTTTTCTATACTTGTCATTGAATATAGAGAAAACTGGTAATGGGCTACATCTACAAAGAAAACTGGGGATAAGCTGATAAAATTGTATTTTGTTGATATTTCTCCCTTTTTTCAAATTGTTGTATTTTATTCCACTATTTATGGGGGTGGTATTTGGGGAAGAAATACTCAGGGCTTACTGCTGACTATGAGCTCAATGATCACTCCCAGTGGTGCTCAGGATACCATAGGGGGTACCAGGGATTTAACTGTAGTTGAAGGTGTGAAAAGCGAGTGTTCTCTGGCCCTCTATTATTATATTTTATTATATTTTC